ATTTGAGTTCGGCTTCGGACTCTCATACACCACTTTTGAATACACAAACATCCAGATTGATGCAATTTTACCCAAATCATCTTTCCCAGCCACTCGCCCAGATGGAATTCTCCCACCTACTTTCGAGGAAAAAATTCCAGACCCTAGTGAAGCCCACTTCCCATCAAATTTCAGGAAGCTCTCTAAATTTATTTATCCATATATCGAAAAGGTTTCGGATATCAAGGAGGGCAAATACCCATACCCAGAGGGCTATGACATCGAACAGACCCCATCACCAGCTGGTGGAGATGAAGGCGGTAACCCTGATCTTTGGACTGTTTACGCCACTGTATCGGTCGACCTCAAGAATACTGGGAGTGTGACTGGCAAAGAAGTGGCACAATTATATCTTGAATATGACAAAATTAGTGGTGAAGCTGCCAATATCGACTTTCCAGTCAGAGTCTTGAGAGGATTCGAGAAAGTTGAACTTGCAAAGGATGAGACGACAACAGTGAAATTTGAGTTGACGAGAAGGGATTTAAGTTATTGGGATGTGGTCAGGCAGAATTGGGTTATGCCCACTGAGGGAACTTTTACGATAAGAGTGGGTGCTAGTTCGAGGGATTTGAGGCTCACGGGATCTTTGTGATATGGAACATAAAAAAGGATCGGAACTGGTGTTGGGGATTTTGATTGGGAAGTGAGATTAACATGGATATGTACTTGGAACTGGATATAACATTCTTTGCGATATAGCCAAACATTGATGACATAGGCCGGGTTTTCAAATGCGCGAGACAATCAGTCCACAAATCAATAGGGATGTGAAATTGAAATTGATTGTATAATCTAGATGAAGGTAGATGTACGTCACAAGAATAAGCCAGCATTCTTTCTATGAGACTATGCATGCAATTCGCAGAACATGATTTTTTCAAAGAGCATTCCTGCGACACTACAAGACGTACTGGAAAGAGCAAACACTGTTTGCCACTTCACCAATACTCGCTGGACCTGGATACGAAATCCTGACCACGCTACGAAATGTGCCTACGCGACGAAAGCGCATTGAGCATCCGAGGAAGAATTTCAAGGAGTGGACAGCGACTCCAATCATGGTAAGCTCTCTTTCATATATTTCTAACCTCTTATTCTTATTGATCGCGATGAATACAGAAAATGCCGGCTCTTTGCTTTATTGGTATAGTTAGACACCTTACTTGGTACCACAACGCTTTTGTATCAGTAGACGACGTCGTATCTCCGCCTAAAATATATGTTTGTATTTTTCAGGTGATCAATTGAGTCAAGAAAGTTAGACATTCTGTCTGTGATTCTGCCAATTTTGCTAATTACATGGAGAGATCTTTCCCTACGGTTTTTTTTTATATAACGTGGTTTATTAGTACATACACTATATCAGTACGTGCATTATTATTTTTACATACAAAAAACGATCGTGTATAACCGTGCACTTTCTTTATTTATTGGTATAATTTAATTTTTCCTTATAAATATTATATTTATCTATATAAATAATATAAAAATGAATTAAAATAGTAAAATCTTATAATAATAAAAAAGTTATTTAAAGAAATTGTTACGGAGGTACCCGCACCGCAACATGGATTATAAGATAAACCTAAGGCCTTGGTGTTGGAACCTACGAAAACAGCACTGTAGGGACAGTTGGATTAAAGGGTAACGAAAGATAGCGGTAACCGAATCAATAAGCAATGATTAAAAGATAGGTACCTATCTTTTGTTGGCACCTACCCTACAGTAGGCACAGGAGGGATAGCGGTACAGGTTATCTAGTAAGCACAGGTTAGATAAGCAGTAGTATCATGTAGGTCACGGGGCAAGTGTCACGTGATGGATAGACAGTCTACCCAAGCTATCCAGGCTATCCGTGGATAGACGGGATAGACAGTCTACCCAAGCTATCCAGACGAGAACGAAGGTCTATATAAGGGAATGGGTTTCATTACAATGTAGAGCTTCGTGCTCAAGAACAATCACTAGTTTCATTACTATAGTTACGAGAATTGCAACCAGTTACAACCTTATTGAATTCCTACTTGAAGTTTAGTCTAAACCACCTCGAGAGAACTCTAGACACTTCCACGTGACCCTAGAGGCAGCTCCCGTAACAGAAATAGATTTTTATAATGTAAAGTGTGATATTCTTAAGTTACAATTGAGATATCTATAAAAAGATTAAATTTTATAAATATTTTATTTTTATTATTTATAAGGAAACTTTTCCAAAGAAAAAATAATGATTAATGGTTTAAATAAAAATATTAATAAAAGACTAATTTTGATGTATTTTGAAGTGGTGTACGTATTGATATGGTGTACGCACTAATAAACTACGTTAACTAAAGACAGCTTTTTGCTTAGATTAGAAAAGTGAAGCTGACTAAGCACGCAAACAAAAAAAGGTTGATCTAGCAAGCAAAATTGTCACTCCTCTAGATTCTGTAAACTTCTAAACTTGATGTAAACAACGAAGGTATGTCTTCTCTTCTTGTTCGATTGCATTCCAAATTGGCAATATTCATGGCTAGTATTTGAAGTTGGCCAATTATTAAAGGGGCCTCTGCAAGTTGTCACAATAGTTCCATCAGTTGTTGTTTCTCCCGAGAATCGATCTGCCTGATGAAGGATCTCTCGATAGAACAAATGCAAAGGCGGAATCGCAACCAAAAATATTTGATGGGTGATAATTACGAAATCTTCGAGACTATACACGGAGCGGGTGAATACCTCAATCTTTCGAACCAGGCCCAGGTACGATAGCACGTTAACGTCACCATTGCCAAAGTTCGTATATGCTGGTTTGTTCCTAACTAGTTTGCGCTAGTATCTACCGGTACTCAACCCAGCGTTAAACATGTAAGTGTCATGTGTGGGAACTACGGGATGATAATGTGGACGACTCCGGTGGGCGTAACCCCGGAGCACTATCAGATCGTGTGTTAAAGCGGGGATGGCGGGGATGGCGGGGTTGTCGTTTAACCTTGACGACGAGATTGGGGAGATCGGCAGCCAAATTTTATATAAAGGAAGGCAAGATGCTAAAGCTTTGAGCATGAAAAGAACGTCAGAGGTACACCATCTCGTTTGATTATCATCATGAAGTACGGCATACTCTCTTTGTTTTTGGCAGCCATTGCAGATGGCTCAAATATACTGCAAAGACAGACTATCCTAGGAACTTCTACTGTCAATCTGAACAATAATACTGGTTCTACCGGACACCTTGCTTCGGGCATTCTCTATGGCATTCCAGATACTCAGGGACAGATTCCCACCTCTTTCTATTCTGATATGGGATTTAATTATGCGCGAGCGGGTGGTGCCCAGGTCCCGTCACCAGGACGGGGTTGGATATGGGGACTGTCTGAATATAAGGTCCGTTAGATTGTTTCTTGTCAAGTAAGTGTGTACAAATTGCTGAATAGTCCTAGGTTCGATTCGCGTCAGCGTTGTCAAATTACCGATCTACTCGAGCACATGGTGGTAAATTCATATTCCTCATCCACGATTTGTGGGGTGCAGACGGAACCCAAAACTCGAGTGTTCCTTACCCTGGAGACAATGGGAACTGGGCTTCATGGGATTCCTATTTGACGCAATTGATCTCTGACATCAATGCAAATGGTGCCACGGCTGGTCTTTCAATTGATATTGTAAGTCAAACCGCGTTGAGCTATCGCCATCCGAAGCTTATTAGCTGACTCCCCAAAGTGGAATGAGCCGGATTTCACCGCATTCTGGAACAGAAGTCAAGCCCAGTACTTCCAATTGTGGGGTCGAACTTATTACAGGTTCAGGTAAATAGTAGAATGATCCTGTGCAGAATTATATACTAAATCGATATTTTAGAGCGGCATTTCCAGCTGTTCCTCTCATTGGTCCCGCCTATGCAGGGCCTCCATCTCTCAGCAGTAATTGGTGGACTGGATTTGCTTCATTTGTAAAGACAAACAACAGTGTTCCAGATCAATGGGTCTGGCACATGGAAGGTGGTGGTAGTGCAAACATGGGAACAGCTTATTCAGGGCTTCAGCAAATCCTTACCACTTACGGCCTCCCTCAAAAGACTGTTAACATCGATGAGTATGGAACGAATGCCGAACAAGTCCCTTCTGGCACTGCTTGGTGGATTTCGCAATTGGAGAGATATAACGCTATTGGGCTAAGAGGGAATTGGCTCAGTGGGTGGCCACTTCACGATTTGATGGCCGGTCTTCTTGGTAAACCAAATGCTGGAGCCTCAGCTTATTCTCCGACTGCCACCGGTTACCGGCCAAATGGAGAATGGCAGGTTTACAAGTACTATAACCTCAACATGACCGGGCATCGCGTTGGAACCTCAGCGTCAGCAGATGGTAAGTTGGATACTTATGCTACGATTGGATCGACCAAAGTAAAGATTTTATGCGGAGTACGCGTTGCAACTGGAACTTGGCAAATTACGGTAAACAGTTTATCCTCTGTTGGATTACCAACATCTGGTACTTTGAACATCAATACTTGGGGATTTCCAAATACTGGTGGCCCATTTGGTTCCGTTACAGCGCTGAACGATCTTGGTACTGTGGCTCATACTTACTCGGGGAACAGTGTGACCTTTCCTATTTATCAAGTGGATACAAGTACTGCGTACGCCTTTGAATTTAACGTCAGTTAGATAAGGGAAAAAGAATGTGGTTGAGCAGTTGTGGCTTTCATTGGGACTACTAAATACTTTTAAATGAGCATACCCAATCAAAGTTGTTCTCAATACATAGGAATTTAACCAATCGCTATATCTCTTGGCTTTAGTCGCGTGAGTCCGAGGTACAATTTCTTTGTTCTGATCCTGATTTGGATTTCGTCATAGCCCCTCAACACGCCACTGCTGCATTTCTTTGTCTTTACAAATTTATTTCTACTACAACAGCTTCACATTGATCACCAAATACAATAATAAAATCAAAACACGATTGCAAACCCAAAACAAGATGTCTTCAGATTCAGATACTACGCCAGTACCTACAATCTCCCCTGAGTTTCATGGAGAGACCAAACCAATTAATATTACTTCCTCAACCGGAAATGCCAAGCCTTCACAGCCCGACGTTCACCGACTCAAGCTCCCCACTGAACATCGCGACAGTACTATTTCTACTCCCGACAGCATGAAGGTTGAAACTGGTAGTTCTAGCGATGGAATTGCAGAAGCTGTCAGCCCCGTTGAAGGCCTGCGCGCGAAATCTCATGGCGTCGCACACGAGGCCGAGGTTAACGGTAGCGATGAATCATGGGAGGAGGTGAGGCATGAAAGAACCCAAGCCTTAGAGGAAGGAACACAGGATAATAGACCAGTCTGGGTGGGCCACGTCGAAGAGAAGAATGCGACACAGGAAGAGGAAGGTTCGGGAGATATTGCTCCGGAGTTCCGACCGAGAACTCCAAGACCTTATGGCTCTCATAGTGAATGATCAATCTTGTGAGAGTTTTGTTAAGCAAAGGGATTGGGATTGTAAAGTTTCTAGTTGATGGCGATATCAGTTTGTGATTTCAATTGAAAGAGTTAGACTCAATTCTCGTTGTCATCTCAACCATTTCATCGAGGAAGTCATTGTGTGGAAGGTTCTAAGCGCCCGGATACTTTGACCAAAAAGTTCTTCTCATATCTCATATTAATACTTAGGTATTGTTTGGAGGATTGCTTAAGCTTGGTTGGGAGTTCAGGAAGAAACGAAATTTTCTTGTTCAGGGAGATTGATTGTTATGCAAGCATGGTAGAAAGTTTGTGAACTTTTTAATAAATACCAATTCCTTAAATAGCTAGCCTAGTTCCTGAGAGCTCCTACACATTGTGTTCTTACTTGAGGCCCTATAAGCTACACTAGATCTTCGATGAGATCCTTAAAACCTAGCATTTTGGAAGTAGCGAGTCGGTTGTCGGTGTAAGAAATCGTGACAAGAACCTCGGATCTCACTCCTTCCTATTTGTATTCTGTGCAGATAATTTCTTCTCAAATAAAATCTTTTCCCTCTCGTCTTTTTGATCAATATCATTCACCTCATCAATCCTTATTCCTATTAGCTATCAGCGGATATAGCCTCTCCTCTCTAATTCAGTCTCGTAATTTTTATTTCAAGCTGTGTTTCAAATTTTCCATCTTACCCAAATCAAAACTTCCTATTCACTGAAAGGTATCCAGCTTCAGTCACGAATCTTCCATTAAGTAACGATCTAGTTGTGAAGCTTGATTGTTTGCCATTATCAGTGACGCTACTTGCTCGAATCCTCAAGGTCTTTAGATAAAAGTATTAGCATAAAAACATGGCTAGCTACATACCTCCAACATCCTACTCACTTCCACCGTCCACGGCTTATGTATCATCAATAGTCATTCCACCTGTTCGGCCCGCATCTTTGGACCCCAGATCAAGTGAAAGTTCATGTCCAAATGCAGGATCAAGAGCTTTCAGCTACACTGATCAGGTAACGGATATCGAGGAAGACTCCCGAGCCAAGTCTGTAAAGTCTTGCAATGTTACATTCGGGAAAGAAATTGCTAAAGGGGGGGACTCAACTACCGAACCCCGGCGAAGTTGTAATCAAAGCGCTGGAAGAAAAATTATGAAAAGTTCCAGTTACCGTATAGAAACTGAATATCTCAAAAGCCCCGCGATGCATGCCTCTTTCGGGTTTGATAACGCCAATTGTGTCAAAATCAAACATCTTCCTGAAAGAATCAAGGACGGAATTCGAACACTTCTAGAAAAGGGCTGGGAATATGGTATTCGAAGAGAAGGTCCATGTTCTAAAACCGATGAGTGTTATTACTTTAAACTCAAGAAGAGACCATTTGGTAGCGGAAATACATATGTGGTAACTCGAATGACACGCAACATGATTGCATATCTGGCCTCCGAGGGTTGGAAAGTACAACCTGTCCCATCACTTTTAGATCCATACGACACTTTGAATTTTCGAAAGTGTGCAAAGCCCCTCCCAAAATGTTACTGGCTTGCTCTGGCATACGGGCATGCTGGGAAGTGGTGTCTGAAAGATCAGCTAAGCATTCTGGGTGGAGCAGACGAACTCATTGACACCATCCGCCTTACCTTGCAAGAAATGAATCTGATATCCAAGCTCAAGAAGGAGCATACTGATTCTGCAAGAAGTTGGCACCAGTTCTGCATCAAGGGCTCCTTTCTCCGTTCTGGAGGCCTTGAAAAGAAAAAGACCATGATGCTCAGGATTATGGAGAGGCTTGAGGAACGTGGTTGGGTCTTATATGTCGGCTGGCATCGAATCTATCATGAACAGACAGACTACGAACAGAAAATTGGGACTTGGTTATGTGTGAAGAGTCGTGAATGGACGCCTACTAATCCAGTGAAAATTCGCTGGGAGAGTGATTTGAATTGAGATGGGACATTGATGATAATGCAGGGTCTGAGATTATGCCAGAAGATACAAATTGAAACTCTCAACGGATCATGAACATCCTGTATGTGATCATCTTGTTTATAGGATATCCGCTGAAGATTCATCATGGTGGTGGCTCTTGTGAATGTATATCAGTGATTGTGGAGCACTAGCATGATTCCGAACTCCGACGAGAATGCTCTATCCATAGCAATTATCACACTCGATGACACTACGAAGTTGAACAAAGATTGAAATACCATAATGACACCAAGTAATGTTCTGTGATGTTTAATGGATATGGAAATTACTAACGGACGCAAGAACCTCATCTTCGCGTTTCTGCCGCGTTTGGCCTTCTAGTGTTAGATAGCTGGCCGGAAAGACTTATAATTCACGTGTCCCCGTATTTTGTAGTAACAAATTTATAAAATCAAAAATCAGAGACGAGATTGAAACGGGCCGATTATGCTTTTTAATCAGTTTTTGTGCTCTTGGATGGATAAAGTATATAAGAATATTTGACTTGGGACGAAACTAAATAATTCCCAAACGAGACCTGAAGCATCAATATGGTATCGTTGCTTTCTTCATTCTTCTGAAAGAAATTGAAATTCTAAACAGATTCAAATAAGTCAATGACGGTGTTTTAATTTCTGAAAAATGATGAAGTCTTGGATGCTGGACAGATTGAATGGTAGTTGCAATATGATGAGATGAATGAACAGTCTAGTATTTTGAGCTATTTAATCAACAAAGTGTAGAAGCTTTGTCTGTGGAGCTCGTGTTGATACAAGGCATCTTGAATTTCTGCAAAAGCTGTAAAAGTCAAGCTCTAAGTGTATCTGTACTTCCGCTTACCGGCATGCGTAGATCCATCGGATGTTTTCCTAGTTGGTAAACCTTGACGGAGTTGATCAACCAGTACCTATCATATTTCCATGTCAGCGCCGATCCATATTGCAATCACATCTAACACTCACGTATCTTTAAAGGCATCTGGATTTTCCGCCACAAATTGTTCGCAAGTCAATTTTCCTCCTTGGCTGCAAATTCCACCATCATTTCCCCAGACAGCTCCTGCAAAATCACCACAGAAGGTAGTATCAAACACTAAGCTCTGATTCGCAAAATGGCTGTTAATAATACAGGACGAAGAACCTTGGAATATTGCTTGAGACTTTGACCAGGAGCTGGGCTCTGGAGTTCCTCTTTTGATATCAAACGGAATGGTATTGCGGGGAAAAAACCAGATCTTGATATGTTCTGAGGTCCATTCTGTAGCGTAGATGCCGCCACCGTTGGAGTTGAAAGATTTGCCATAGGTGGATGCTCCGGCTTGAGCTGTTGAGCCGCAGCCAGCGTAGTTGTTTAACTAGTGATGTTATGAGTGGTGTATGCTATGGATGAAGAGGGGTGTCTTACGGTTCCATCACATTGATTGCTATTCATCGTACCTAGTTGTGTGTTGTCTTTGTTTGGCATGGTACAATTTGCCGAGCTTTCACTGTTAGTAGGCTAAACCCATTGAAAGGGCAAACAAATTACGTATGGAGAGTCATTAGGTTGTCGCTTTGTTGATTAACGCCTTCAATGATATCAATCTCCCTTGATTGCAAATTAGACACTTCGCTAAAGGTTCGATTCTGGAAACATACCCGTTATTCGGCCAATCTGGGCCAAGCAACCAAACTGTTTTGTGGATCTTCAATAGCTGCTTTCTTCATTTTGATTGTTTCGAACTTACAAGCTGGCCAGGTACCGCAAGTTCCACCAGGCATGTGTAAAATATCTGCAATAAACAATCCATGTGTCCATGAATTCTGACTCGTTATGCGTACACTCTTTCGTCCTGGACCAGCAGGATCTAAGAAAGTAGTATAATCGACTCCCATATATACCGGTCCATAAGTATCTGTATTGGTGAGATGATTTGCCCTCGAAACTTCTTCGTCGACATATCTGGGAAAGGTCGTTAGTAGCGCTCAGCATCAAAGGGACGACCGACTAACGTGACGTAACCATGAGTGGGATCTGGATCCTATCGAACTTTAGTGAAAAGATGCTTGTCGCAGGGTTCTATGATTTCTTACAACAAAAAATTCCCATCCACTGAAGAAGTTCGCTCCTTCATATCTTGAGTCCAGATGGTAGCGCTGTTTGGTATGTGCTATGACACCTACATACAATAGCCAACAGATTGAGAAGAACAGGCAAGTCGAGATCATCGTCATGGTACTATAACAATTTAATGGAATGAAATATAAGAAACTTGCCCAGGAACGCAGAGAATGATTTTCAAGTTGAACTAATTCTTACCAGCAAGTTCGTGTCACAAATCCACAATGCTTCGAGTAGCATTTCACAGGAACAGTGGCACCACCAAAAAAATCCATCTTGATGTAGTATTACAGTCAATATGCAATCTCTCAAATAATCTCAAATTTCCGAAACATATGGGTGGAAGTCAGCGAATGCAATACTCGATTCACTACTTACCTAGATATTCATGATGAGTGCAATTTATTCTTCGGCTCTAGGCCCAAGATGGTCACACCTCAAATGAGAACCCCAATTACTTACGCAAGAGATCCAATCTTACGGGAATCAATTGAGATGACACTGGTAAGATATTCAGACTTTATTTGCGAGGGCTTGAAGTGGTGATGCACAAGTTTCTCGATGTGTAGAAATAACATAGTCGACGAACTATAAATATGGTTATTCAGATTCGAATGGAGATGAAGCATGGAGACATCGAGCTTCCGATTCCATGTGGTAATTGGATCGCACCAATAATCCACTTTAGTTCGCACAACAGTCTCCCAGTGTTCTGGTTTGATGAGTGATGAGTGCTAGAAAGTTTTGTAACGTCATGACAGTAAAAAGAAATCTGAATTTCATGATTTCGGTCTCTCGAAACCTTTCTTTGGTAGACAACTGTTCCATTACCATGAGCAGGATGTGTCAGGAAGACTGTTGATGGAAATTGAGGGAATCACGTGTGATACACGTGATTAACTTTTCTGCAACATGTACGCTTGTTCAATGCTCGCCATTAATCTGACGGAATTTTAATATGCAGGTTACGTGAGAAATCTCTCCAAAAGCATTGAAAACCATAGTTGTGTGCAGCTAGGTACTCGCCGGAGACTAAGGATTCCTCGCTGACTGAGCTAGTGGACCGTACGAATATAAGTCCTGCTCTCTACCATGGATTTCAGATCTCTAAGGCAAAATCCAATGATGCTAGATGGAAATGGAATTTCGTCAATATAGTTCCCATTTATAAGATGACGAGATTTCATGATGTGGCTGCAAAGGAGTGTTTCTCGTCTATTTATCGGCAAAGATGATGAATTCAGTGACCTTGGTGCTTATGTAATCGAAATTGATGTGTTTGCCCTTCCCAGATAGATCGTATCACCTAAACAATTTATATTTTATAAAGTTTCACATTATGGTGATCTTCTGGTATTGATGGATAATACCGTCGACTATTCTCGTGGTGTCTCATCGGCATTGCGCTGTATGGTAGCATGGAAGCTTTTAGGAATTCATCAACCTGCCATAACACATATCTGCCCCAGCCATCGTATGAGCACCCAGATAATTTCATTGTTCAACCCCTTTTTGAGAAATACTCAATAATTCTACGCGACATGTCGATCATGTATAAGACCGGTAAGTCTACCAAATTCCGTCAAGAACGTGTGATCGTCAGTCTGCTGTTCGTTTCAAGTATGGTTTCACGCGTTTTTGGCAGGATATTATGTCTTGTTGGGAGTAACCTTTCTTTTATTCATATTAATGACTATTGTTCCTCGAAAAATTCGTCAATTCCAACTGATAATACACTGACTAGTCGCGACTGCTGAAGAGCCTATGATATACACACTAATTACTCTAACGAGTGGCCAACGACAAATGTCATTCGAGAAGTATGAAAGTTTCTATCTTTAAAAACTTTCTCTGACGTCATTTTCTGGTATGAGTTGGCTGTCAGTAACATGTGGATTGCTCCAGACGGAATGGAAATATTAGGCATGGTGTTCAACTCTCAATTTCCGGCTCCGATAATTGAAGTGAGTAAATGTAACTTTCACATTTGTGCACTGGCTAATGTCCATGCGACTGTAGGCGGACTGCGGGGATATTTTGAGTACGATACATGACACTGATTATAAGCATGTAGACTGACTGACTATTCAGGAATAACGTTCCACAACAATTTAATGAATCTGAACGGTACCGCAGTTCACTGGCATGGTATTCGCTAATTGAACAGTAATTGGCAAGACGGTGTCCCAGGAGTTTCGCAATGTCCAATCACGGCAAGTCGAGTCTGGACATCCCAAAAAATGGAATACCGATCTTTGGCAGCCTTCTCAGTCCTATACATAAGAGTTTCAAGTGACTCAGTATGGAGTATCTTGGTATCAGAGCAATTTTGCATTGCAATGTAAGTTTGTGTAGCTTTGTAAATTCCTCTTTTGCTCGACGTTGGTTGATGTTTGTGTTAGATCCGGCAGGACTTTATGGTGCCTTGGGAATCGGCGGACCGGCGGGTTGGGGCTGTAGTGTTGGTGTTGGTCCGTTGCTGATATCGGATTGGTTTCACCAAAGTCCCTTCTCGCTATTCTACGAGGAATTATGTTGCGGAGAGCCTGTATCGAACTCGCACCTGCTGCAAGGGCAAGGAGTTTACTACAACGAAACTACAGGTGTCAGAAGTGGCAGTTCCTACTCCCTTGGTGTGGCTAAAGGTAAAAAATATAAGATCAGTCTTGTTAATGCGGGAACTTCCACTCAATTCACATTCTGGATTGATGGTCACACGTTTACTGTGGTTGGAACAGACTTTGTACCTATTAAAGACTGCGAAACAGATACCTTGAACATTGCTGTCGGTGAATGAAGTCGATCAACCACAAGGCAAATTTTTAACACTCTCTAGGTCAACGCTATGATATCTTTATCAAGGAAAATGCGGATTCTTCACACGGTACGAACTTCTGGATTCATGCTAGGGACTGTAACAGTCCAAAACAAATATCTACCTTGGGTATTTTCAGATATGATCAAGCATCAACTGAGCTTCCCGCGGATAGTCGTGATAATCGATCAAACTTCGGATGTTTGGAACCTTCAACCAAAAATTTGATTCCTGTGGTTTCCAAGAAGGTGGAAAAGCCGATCAATGGAATTACACCAGACCAATTCCTCAATATATCCTTGCAGCCATATCGTAGGATGGACCCCAATACCCACCCATTGAAGTGGAGTCTCAAAAACTACCCAATGTATCTTGACTGGAGCGTTCCTTCTCTCAAGCTCATCCAAGATAATTTCGATACATCGGGCATACCTTTCCACAAGATTATGTAACGATATTTCTAGATTATCCGGGCAATGATTGGCTTTATTTCCTCATCGAAGGCATGTTTAATACAACGGACCCAGCTATTGATATTACAAATAGTAGTCACCCTATTCGTCTGCATGGTCATGATCTTTCGATATTAGCTCAATCGCACACACTCTTTGATATCACCACATTTTCCCCAAATATTGATAACCCCCAAGAGGAGACACTGCTATGCTACCTCAAAATGGATACTTGGTAATTGGATTTGAAATGAACAACCCTAGATTCTGGCTTCTCCAATATCACATTGTAAGTAGCCCCGATCCTTTCCTCAATATGTCTATTTGTTTCTCTCAATATGTCTTCTCTTTTGTCTCTCGGAGCTATTTCTTTACCGCTCTAGGCTTGGCACGCATCTTCTGGGGTGGCTGTTCAATTTGTCGAGAGCTCCGGTCAGCTACTGAGCATGATCAGTAAGGCTGGGATAATGCCAGGCTTAGAAGATCAATGTGATGCCTGGACAAGTTAGTGTGATGATCACAATGTACCCGCAGAACACACTCAAGATGCAGAGTCTGGGGTTTAGCCTTTTAAGTCTTGATTACATTCCCTGAGTCTTCGCTTAATTGACTCCACATGGAATTCACTTTCAAAGGCCAATTTTGTTTTGCGTATTTCAATCTTGGATTTCTCATGTGCATTAACATCTAATGTTACAAAATAAAACTGGGAGCTTTCCGTCTAGTCATTTTGAGATTGACAGATGGTTTCGTGCATTGAATTCGAATCCACTGGCCTGTCAAACAGATAACTTTCCAGACAATTGAGAGCCTTACTGAGCTGATTTAGAAAGTTTTCGTGAATCTGGATTAGAACAAGCTTTGTTCAAAAATCGCTTGATACATCACCCGGGGAGCCAAAATTCAAGTGGTTTTCTACACAAACATGAATAGCATCAACCAGTATTTGCAGTGTTATTAGTAGTTTGCTTTGTCAGTAGGTAGGAGTATAAGTAAGACTGTCTAACCCCTCTAAATACCTGTTGAATCAAGTCTGTCACATCTTAATCTCATTAATATTAGCTTTCTGTATATAAAGAAGCTATAACAAACTATCATTTTACCCCAAGTCAAGCATAGTCTTGATTCACTCACAAGATGTCCCAAAGACGGAGCAATACAAGAACAAAATTTCATAGTAGAGTGAATAACTGATAATCACTTGTGTTCGGATGTGTAAATTATTGACCACTAACATCCTCTCGGTGTATGTCAACTAATTTCCGAGACATGGGGTCTACAGTAGGGTCTTAGTGGTCTTAGTACAGATCACTTCCTTCGATTAAGTTTAAGATACCACAATTGATACCCTCTGTCTGAGGGCGTCTTTCAGCTCCACATCAAGAAATCCGAAAACAATTATTCTCTTTATACTCAAAGATCAATCATCTTACCTGGCAATTTAGCTGAAGCTATCGACGCTACAAGGAAGACACCAGTGTATTTGCAACATGGCTATTAAATACTGCGGAAAGTTGTGGGTATAATCCGGGATATGATGACGAAATTCCCAAGCCGCAGTCAATGCAACCAAGCACTAGACTCAAGGGAAAAGCAAGAAAGGAAGCGAAGAGAGCCACAATCGGTTCGACACTAAATGTGCAAACTAAACTGAGGTATATTTCGACGAAAGAGATATTGCTACAGGCAGAAATCGTGGCAAAACACAAGAAGCCGCCCATGGAAATGCCAAAGTATATTCTGAACATCTTGGAGCGTGCAATAAGGGCACGAACACGCTGTGCTAGTGTAAGAAAACTTTCCTCACCTCCAAGCGAAAAATGTTTCACTTTACTATTACGTCATGCTAATTGAACGCACAGTGGTTTTGTAGCACCGAGACAAACCAGCATACCGATCAATCCAACCGCACACATGCGTATTTTATCTCAATACTTGAGAAGGCACTTGCTACACTCGAGCCTTGTGTGAGAAAAGAAAAAGGCGCTGGATCTAGCTCTCAAATACGAGGCAGCGTCGCAGCTCACAACACAAACACATATGGCATGCTGGAGGTTGAAGATGTTGGTGAGGATGACCTGAATATCACGCCTACTGACATCGTCAATGTGAATGCGGTTAAACCGAGAGCAAAGAAACACCTGAACATATGTGAGATGAAAATCGAGGATACGATAGACTTAGATTTTGTCGTATTTTGTTTCTTCGAGGATTTACAGCGCATACAAGAATTCTTGAAAGAGACATGGAAATTGGTTACTAAGGAAGAATTGGACGCCACAACCGCTTCTCTTGTGTCTAACCTGGCTTTCAGTCTTGCACGTCAAATTGAAGATGAGCTTATATCCAGCCACCCAAATTATTTCGGTAATGTTCCATCTTATGTCAAGATTGCGTGAATTCTATATGAAGTTACCCACGTCAGTGGCAAATTGGAACAACAAGATAACGCGTCGAAGAGGTCTACTACAGACGAGTTTGTGTATTACTCCACCTTTCGGACTCTATCCAAGTATCTTCAATACGGGCAGACTCAAAGTAATGGTGCACAGTGTGTCATACCTATCAGTACTTTGTTATCTGCAAACGATCAGGCCTACGAACAGACGGGTCAACATGTTATGCCAGTAACAACATCCTCCATTAATGATTGGAAGAATGAGGACTTACTGCTTTCTCAAATTCTCCTCGACGTCACGAATAAGAGCTTCGTGGAGTACCAGAATGAGATACACTTCAGCGAAGAAGTGAAAGAACAGAGACGTATCGATGAACGCATCATCTCAACACCATTCGAAGATGAATTGACGAAAAGCCTCATGTCCACCAATAGCACGGGCAATATCAGAGTCTCTGTTGTATTTGGAGCTAGAGCTCTCATGGATATTTCAAAGATTTTGGGCAGTGGTGCTAATAAGTCTTACGAAAGCTTGCGCCTCAAGGCATCCATTGCGTCACACGCTCTAGGAATCCGCTTCGATGCTACATTCGAGCACGGGTTTCAGAATACTCTCGAAGAACTGGATAGAGATTGGATCACACCGGAAACAACGCAGCGGGCAATCAATCTTTCTCAATCGATTCAACAAACTGTCAAGGACAACCCCCTAGTGGTCATAAAAAGTAGGCACTTGCGGGACACGGCGAACAAGATTCCAGAGCATCACTCTCTCTTTCGAGAGTTCAAACAGCTACGGGCTGAAACCATCTGGCCATCGAAAGATCGAGCATTCTACTATAACAATAATCCAGTTTATTGTGGACTCGAATGGTTCAGAATTGCCATCAAGCTGGAAAAGGAAGGTGTTGATCTTTGTAACACATTCACACCATTTTTTGCTGTTGCACATCTGTACAATGCGCTCAAGCAAGATGGTCTTGTTCAGAGTAACTGGGCCATATTGGATGGTGCAATTGACTCTCAACTGAAGCATCTCTTCAATGACATCCTACCTACAACTCATAAGCAAATCATCAGTCGATTCATCATGAAGTTGGGTGTTCCAGCTAGCGCCTTTGCACCAAATTGTCGCCCAGCTTCAACCGCAAAGAACTTAGGCGTCAATTTTGTCAAGAATACAGAAGACATGCTCAAGACTACCGAGTTTTCTAGCGCGCTGATGAGCTATCTCAAAGACCCAACCGCTGCTGATACCCTTCTCATGCAAGCTCAAACGCATGGGTGTATGAACGCTAAAGACAAGAAATTCAAGACTCGTCAGGGAACTCCTCTTGAGATCCTCACAGAGATGAGGATTTGGTTACCGCAGATCATCGCCAGAATTGAAATCCCGTACATCAAGCTTACACGCCAATGTAGTCTGTTGCTTTTACGTATCCGGGAAGCTTTGAACAAGGAACTTGGTATGGACAATAAGCACGGTCTTGTCGACTGCGCTGAAGCCAACCCGAAAGAGAATATTCTGACGGTTTTGAGAATCCTCGGCGAAGCTTACGGGATAGAACTTTGGTCGGACAAGGAACGCCGCAAGCTACGTGATAATCCGTATATAAAGCTGGAAACACCTCAATTGCTTATAGCCGCTCGAGTTACACGGAAATTCCTAGTAGAGATTGGTAAAGAGGACCCTGTCAAATCATTTGATGTTCCTGAGGCGTTACAGTTAAAGCGTGAATTAAGCCAGAAAGGACAAGATCTGCAGAGAAGATATCTGGCAGGTGACCAGAGCACAGAAGTTATCGATGGATTGAGAAGGGCAATTGCGGAAGCTTCCATATAGGCACTGATGTCAGGGCGATGTGATGTTCATCAAAGGTTTGAATTGAGTCTGTCCGTAGTAATAGGAATCGGCCGGAATTAAACATTTGTGCAATATTCTGAGCCTGAAATGATTGAGTGATTTCAACGTGCCACATCTTCAACCAAAGTGGTGGAATCTAATTTGAGCACAGAATCGCAATCTCCGTAAAGTGAAAGTTAAGTCTTGAGTGAAATTATACCAGGCATGCTTGTCGTTTAGATAATCTTCATCTAATATGACGCTACCTCACGTCACTTGTTTCCTTGCTCTAAAAGGACGCACACAATTTTCGAAACGTTGCTGTAAAAAAGGGCGGGTTTGTGAGGTTTTCCATTTTCCCCTTTCATCATTAACCTCCTCGTCTACTGTATTCGTTCGAATTTAGCGAACAAGCTTTGAACCCGACTTACTAAAACATTGAATTCAAGATACAAACCCCAATTTTTAATAAAATAACCATCGTTGTGACGTTCTATATAATCTGGAACATTGAGATCTCATTGCTCAGATCAACCTCGAGCACCAGAGCTTCGATGTTCCCTCGAACTTGGATCCTCGCATTTTGTGATTCAGAAATGAATCGTCATCCTGATGTGCAGTGCTCATCTTGTCCTATAGCCATTGTGTCTGTGATAAACACAATGAGAAATTCCCTTGTGACCCCACTACCCTTGGTCAAGATTACCACTAAAGTTTTAGGGAGTCCAGGTTATAGTTTGAGACGTTTTATTGATACTTGTAAATCATACAGCTATCGACTTCATTTTCACATCTTTACCGGAACGTCGCATGATGGCAAGACATAAATTCGCACACGAGTTGATAAAAATCAAGTTGACGATCATGCATGTACAAAAGCTTGATACAGAGACGTAGATCTGCTACTTCTTCGTCGTCTGGCTTTAAGGTTTGGAGGAAAATGAACTAAAGTTTCCTTCATGAGCTTCGCCTGGTCTTGGGTACCAAATCCCACGACAGACATCTTCGAGCTCGTTAAGTTCCGGTAAGTCATGGTAGTTCGTTGCACAGTTGCCAAAGTGATGGCTGCAATAATGAAATATATATACATCGTTGACAGAGTTTCCTTCGTTTTTTACTGTTGCTTTAAGAGCCGTCATATCGAGAGCGAGGGCGGAGGGTACCAAAGAGGTCATCACAAAAGTCAGATAGGACAAAAGTTGCGGTAACCGAGAAAGTATAAGACCACCCCCTAGGCGTTTGTAACATTCTGATTCCATGATGGGCAGATTTGTCAAGAAACAATGCAGCATTGTCGTGTTGCGGTCAAAGATACAAAGATAAGATGCATTTTGACATTCGAATCAAGCCGATATGGGTTTCCGTGGGATTCATAGTTTCAATCCATTAATTGCCACGGGTAATTTCCGACAGCAATATGAATGATTTTGCCGCGACTTGAGGTATCGAAATCAGAAAATAGCAGGCTATGTGAATCTGAACTTTAATTAGACTCTGGGGGTACCAGAACAGCTGAGGTCAAGAACGCAATGTCTTTGACATAAAGAGCAGAGATTTCGAAACTGTGGTACAGACTGTGGATTATATTCACGTTGAAATTTCTAACCAGAGTTTAAGCATGAGTGTTCCTATGAATCAACTGGACCTATGAACATCAATAGCTTATCATTCAAACCTATCTCGATTAAGGGATCCAGTCCGGGCTACTCAGCTTACGATGTACACCTCAGGAACCTGGCACGTGGACATAGTTGAAATAAAGATCGACCTTGGGAACTATATCATTCTAACGTGAGTTGTAGTAGATTCCCACATTCGTAGTGTCGATGTCGAGAACAGTCCATCCGAAGCGAGCATATTCAGATGAATGTGTAACTGCGAGCCTCAAAACCAATCAATGTATCTTTGGCATTCACGTAGGTATCCGGCTTCCATGGCAGGCCAATCATAGGGTGGCGATTGTAGTTGTGTTAAGAGACGAATAGCATAGCCTCATTGTGTTCTCAAGTTCTCAAAATAGCCCCTCCTGCCTAGGAAAAAGTGCATCATGAGACTCTCTGAAAGCTACGGATTTGATACCAGAACAATGTTGTGGTATATCGTCTCCGCTATCTTTGAGCACTGATACCAAGCAGGGAAAGATTGCTGGACTCTATAATTTGAGTGTCTCGAGCGTCCAGCGAATGATGGCGTTGGAGAACCTACAGAAACCTGTACTGGTAAATTTGATTGTTTCAATTATCAAAGTCGTGTTGTGTGCCGATTTGTTAGTTGTGGCAAGTCGCGTTGCTCCAAGGTTCTGAAGCCTATAGAGTTGAAAATCATAGCACCCCACACACTAAAAATCGGAAACACTCGCTAAGCCTAAATAGTCCTAGATAAACTTTTCACCACTCACCGCCAGCTACGTTGACAGCGGACCCATCGTCGACAGCCCCATCTTGACAAGCCCAACTGCTCACGTTTGCATAAATCATAAATATGTATGTGATTCACATAATAGGATTAATGCTGCTGATAAGTTAATGAGGGGCGAGTTATCTGCAATCTTTAGAACCATCTAACTATCAATGTCGTGAGAAAGCAATCCATCTCGAAAAAACATCATCCGCCGTCAAACTTTTATATCATTCATTTGAACCTCGGAAGCTCTCACCGCAATATGGTTACCTGATGACTCTTGATAACAGAGGGGAACATTAGTTCTGCTACTTCTTCCTCTCTCATTTTACTTCTTTCCTGCGTACGCTACACACAAATATATCTGCCCTGGAGGTTGATGTGAGTCTTATTAGTCTCAACGAGTCGATTTGATATTGACATTAGAACAGTATTTTTCGCATTCCCCCCTCAACACACCTCCACGCCCTGTCCCTCTCTGCGTCCATTCATTCATAGAAACAAAATTTCTCGAGATAGGCAGGCCACACAGGAGTGCAGTAAAGCCTAAGACATTACGAAATGGGTCTCGAGAAGCTCTTTGCTGTTGCAGCGCCTAAGAAAGGATCATCGAGATCATCGTCAAATCAAACGTCCATAGCACCAATGCATCTTGAGCAAATCTTTCGATTCCCTGGAGTCTTGACCGAAGTTTCGAGCGTTGTCAAGAATCTATCAGAAGGTTACACAACATATCAAAATGGGGCAGCGCTTAGGAATCAGCTGGAGTCCGTTGTGCCGGAGGTGCAAACGTTTGCTTCAGGGATGAACCGATATTTGAAGAACAAGAACTGGTTGGATTTGTTTCAAACCTTCCTGGTGGGGGCGAATGTTGTTGCTGCCTTCATGGAAGTACTGCAGGGTTCGTCGGGTCTTGAAGAAATCGGTTTAAAAATTTATGGCGAACTCGAAGCACAGACAGGACTTGCTGCCCCTGATAAATTCGCGAAGCATGTTGACAAATATATCCGGAAAGAGGCAGCGAGTGTCTATGGTGGTGACGAGGAGCATCTCTATTTCCTATATCACCCGGATACAGACTGGCACGGCGAGTTCCACGATATCGTTCAAAACAAACCGGTGCCAAGTAATTTTGTCGGCATGTCCGAGAATCTTCACGCCCTGTGTACTTGGATGTTATTCATGCGAAAACGACTTGAGAGATCAAGGATTAATGCACGTTTCCATCTCCTGATTCCTGCATATAGACCTATGGTTGTTAGAACGGCTTTCGTCTTTCCAGAAGAACTCTACCCTTTGACTGTCCGTGGACATATTCACAATTCGAAAGAATATGTCTGGTTAAACCTCCCTACGATGAAAGATGTTCCTTCCGACTTGTTCGAAATGTCAAATGTGGGTAATATTGCCGCTTTACCAAAGCCACCGGCACTATGGCAGCATGCGTTGACCTGGGTAGGGAGTATAGTAATGCCTAGAAAAGAGCCACCCCCAATAGTTCTAGGAAGGGGAAACGTCAGTCCTAATGCTCCTATCTCGTTGGAAGATAATGAAGACGAGAAACTCGAAGCTCCAGAGGATATTCAGATTCAGCCTGAAACACGACAGATCGTAAGAGGCGAGAAAAGACGAAAGCATCGAAGTTCACGCCCGAAGGGCGACTACAAACAGTATTGAATGTCGTTATTACCACGTGGAACGCGGAGTTTTTCGCACGTATCTCGTGCGCGCTACATGTGGGAATTGAACTGGCTGTCATGAGCGCATCTACGTCAGATTCAGTAGAAGCAAGATAGATGGAGATGAGTGATGAAATAGATACCAAATACAAAAGGAAGGAGTAGGATAGGAGAACATTGGTCATTTGCGGTTTACATAGCTTCGCGGTAGCCTCGACGTCGATTCGGAAGATCGAAGCTCATGGATTACTCCGGGAAGTGGCGTTCGCGATTGTTTTCTTTTTTCATGCGATACCAAAGTAGAATAGAAATACAGGTATCATGAAGGATTCTTTGAACAGGTTTTATACATTCGTCGGTGTGGCATGTCATACCTAAAATTTCAATTGTAGAACTATCTGGGAAAGTTCCTGGCTATGTAGATAGCTTTAAGCCACTTTTTTGGAGGAGAGAAATTGACTTAAATCTAACTTTAAGGCTTTAGTAAGTCATGGTCAATTGGTTTTCATTCTGAGAGTCCCATGATGATATAGTTGTCGAGCCTGAGGTTAGCGAAGTCTTCATTTAACTATCATTCAACCATTCCCCACAAGGTTAGTCAATCGAACGTGAATACCCCATCTATATCATCGTGAGATTGTGAGATCTACAACAGCTTTCGCTTGTAATATACACAGATTTTCAAAGAGTGCCCAAACGTTTTTCTCAAGAAGTAACATTTGGAAGGTCAACGAATTCATGGCACCCTTCCACCTAAAAAAAAAGAACAACGTCTGTTCAAAAGCGAAACGAACGGGTGTTGAGTAGCTATTGCGAGCTGGAGATATCAGATAGCTCAATGCGTTGTCAATTTTGGTCAATTTTTACGCAGATATGCTTATACCAGTTGACACTGTGAAGCACTAACGGCTTGCAAGCTGCGACGAGTCATAATATATTGCTAAAAGTGGCTTCAAGAATGGACAATGAAGCCAAGTCTAGACAACCAAGTAAGTTATTCGTGTATTTCCCAACAAAATGTCTGTCGGTCTGTACCAGCCGATGTGTGGTTGTCTCTCAGGCACATCAGACTCTCCTATCGGCGAACGACTTTCGGATATTTGGATTGAATTTCGCAATGTATTAGCATCACTTTGTGAATAGTAGGTAGATGAGGTGCCCTTTTGTTCATATCAAGCACTACACTTTGATGCGATCAGGAACTCGTGTCCACTGTTTCGTAAGTATGATTACTTCGTTGAAATTCAGTCTTGTATCTGTGTAAAGGCGAATTGTTTAGTCTAGGTTTACTAGCGCTATTTTCACTATGTGTTTTGTTTGAATCAATGTGACTAAGTTCTAGTGTGGAGTAAGATTCCGAGAAGCTGGCAAGAAATTGCCGTTGCGTGTTTTTTAATGCCATTCAGATTTTGGATGCAATGCAAACTTCTTAATTGGGTCACTATGCTCTGCTATGTAGTAGGGCTATCTCTGTGTGGCTGAGCCTCCCAGTAAAATCAGAACACCCGCACTACTATCACGCTGCTCCCTTGTTCTAGTACTTGGTATCTACCCTCAGAATTCCTCATCTTCTTCATATTCATCTCTCGAAGATCTATCTCTTGCCACTTTCTCGGCCTTAATCCTTGAATCCATGTACGATATCTTGGGGCGCAGTGGGTATTGTTGTCTTCCTTCAGCTTGTGCTAGTAGTGCATTTCTCGAGAAGTCCTTTTGATTATCTGGCCCACGTTTTCTTGTGTTGTTTGTAGCTCTCTTTCTTGGCGCAATAATTTTTGGAACTCGATTACGCTTCTCTGCTAGCATCGCAGTTAAAGAACTCTGCTTAGAAGCTCCTATTCGCGCGATTTTTCTTTTCCTGCTGCCACTATCGTCATCATCATTATCATCGTCGTCGTCTTCGCCATCGCCATCGTCACCGTCACCGTCACCGTCACCATCACCATCAATTTCATCTCCTCCTGGTCTCACAGCTGGGTACCTTCTAAATTATGTCAATATTGCCGAATTATGAATTACGATGAAGCTTGCTCTGAGCCGCTATTATGAGATCTGATGCTATTGAAGTTTCTGAGTGCTGGAGATAGTAGATGGCAGTTACTTACAAATCATGGCATACGGGACATGACTCCGTTGACATCAATTTTCGCTGGCACCTGTTATGTGCTGTTTGATCACCGAGTTCGCAGTATTTTTTTCGACGATGTGCATTTCGGCAGGCAGTGGTGTGAATAAGAGTAATATCGCCTCGCGGGCATAGATCGGTGTAGTAAACACACATCGCTGTTTAGATCTGTTCCATTGCCTTAATTGCAAAGTCTTGTATGATCTTAGAGCTAAGTGGATATGAGAGCTTAAATACTGTAGCTATAGGTCTAAATCTTCACAAAGAGAAGAATGGCTAGAACGAGCTTTGTTAAGATACCCAAACGAGGTCGAAAGCAAGAACGATTTATTACATGAGCCTCTATCAAGCGGAACATACAACAAACAACTAGACAAGATATCACAGATTAATTTGAAGGTTCTGGAAAAAGTCTTGTTTCTTATAGTATCATTTGAAAGAAAAGTTTCTTTAAAAATAAAAATCTAGCTCAAAGGTCTCTGTGATCTTGCTACTCTAATCACCCTGACTTGGATAGCGTTCAGTGAGGTGAGACATGCGACATTACAATCTGTCGACAGGACAAACAGGTTCCTTGAAAATGCATGACAGTATCTGAATAGACTCACTCAGCATCTGGTTTTCTTTTTATCCAACAGCACCAAAGATTGATGGTATACAATCAATGAAAACAAGAATGGATCTAGTATCCTCATATCTTCTACGTCCTCTATTTGATTTCCCGGGAAATCCTTTGGGAGAAAAAGCTTGGAATTTGCCTAGAAAGTCAGAAAGCTGCTGTTATTAAAACATGATTAAGGAGAGTTTCAAGAGTTTCAAAGTGACAGTGGAGTCTCATTACGGAAGTGTGATTTCTACTCGGAGATATTGATAACTAAAAAATGGTTCGCCATGTTTCTTGAGATCTTTCACGTGTTTGGTTCTACGGATTTCAATGATTCAAAAAGCTTCTGAATATCAAATGAGTCATATGTCTCAGTTTAAACGTTATCACGAACTGGAGAGGACTCTCTAATCTGTAGGCAATCGAATGGTTTCTCTCAGCTGCACCAATAAACCCACATATGTCGCAAGTCAATCTCTGTAACAAGTGAAACTCGGCTCTTCTCATTTTACTTCAACCAGTACCATCCATGGTATTAGACCACTGACTTTCTTGCCTGATTTGTTCTTTGGTTTCTGGCAGTGGGCGTTTTTTCTTCAGACTTCTCATCTTGAACACGTCCACGTTTTGCTGGGGTATTATTCGCCGGCACTGAGCCTTTGAATCCCCTTCCGGTGCTCCTACCGCGTCTTGCTGCGGCTGGAGTTTGAGAACGCTTACTCTGAGTCACTGTACATTGATCTAGTTTGTCTGTTTCCTCCTTCTTCTCATTCTCCTGCTCGTATGCTTCGGCCTTCTTTACCACTGCTATCGGCACCTCTTCTTCTACTTCGTCTTCCTCGTCTTCCTCATTATCCACAGTCGCGGCCTCGGCTGCCTCTTCTTGAGCCTCTGTTTGTCTAAGAATATTTTATTAGTGATATACACTAAATCGCATCAAGACTCGCGAAGCGATTCATGGTTTCTCCTCTGGCATCTTAAAAAGAGCTGGTCCCTGAGATACTTGTAAAATAATCGATCAAAGGATATCACTACTTACTTCTCTACTTCTCAAAACCCACAATACTCTCTCGCGCTCGTACTTTTCCTTATGTTGCCCATTCTGACTTCTTCGATGTCACAATATCGGAGCGGTCTGCAATTGTTTGCATAGTTACAAGCCCTGGCATGAACGAGAGAACATTCGTGACCTTCAAGACAAGTTTCAATGTAGTAGATGCACATTTTCAGTTGGAAGTAGGCTTTCAAGACAAACCTTAATAAGAACCAAACCCTTGGACCAAATTACAGAAGAAGGGGCAATACTTATGTGTAGAGATTTCCACAAAGATAAATTTTAGTACAATAGGGCTAGCTAATTTCAAAAACTTCTTCATAGATTGCCCACAAAAGAAGAAAAAGAAGAAATAATTGCTTCAAAATCTTGTGAAGCGCCTTTTCATCCTCATGTAATTTTCTTCGTGAACAAAACTCAAATGAGAAGGCAGTTTCAGCCTACTTCATTGTTTTTTACGCCATTTGAAGGTCTTGTGAGCAATGCAATTAAATTTGAATATTCACTGGCAATCATTTGTTTTAAAAACGCAGCACTATCAAACTCAACCCTGTGGAAATAACATGAGACGTCATCTGATGATGGCCCCGGTGGAATAGTTTTTGTTAAGAATGAACTAAGCTAAATAAGGGGCCAAATATCTAGCACACTCATACCCCAAGTGGGTATTATCCTCCTCCCATCCTCATTAGAGATCTGCGTGAAATATGGGCCTGTTTGATTCATTTTGAACATTTCTTCTTGCAAGCTGATCTAAGTTAGGATGACTGCATGTAATCTTCTTTGTTGATTTAAAAGCATTTGACCTTGATCACAGGTCCTAGTACAAACTCAATGAAAATCTTTTTGTTTCTAGTACCAGCACTACTATGATTCAATATTAATCTTTCATTCAGTTTAAGACTGTATTCCTTTAGTCTCAGCCGCCTGCATTGAATGTGATTCCTTCAACAAGAGATGCAGTCAAGATGGCCAATATTCTACCATCACTTCTCGCGGCGTGGTTATCTAATCACCGGCTCTGGAATACCCTTTATCTTATAATCCGAGACGTGCTTGGTATCTCGAGCGCCAGAACTCTTACCTCCAAGCGACTGCTTCTTGGTTGTGTTGGCCACGCGCTTCTTGTTTGTCTGGTTTGCCTGGTTATTTGCAATATTCTGAAGTGCATTTGACAAGATACCTGGCCCTGTCTTACGCTCGAGACCTTGTAGCCCGGAAGGTCTGACGTCACCCAGTAACAATTTAGATTTGGTAGCGCTGTCCTCCGCCTCTGCCAATTCTTTCGTCGATTTTCCAACACTTGCTGACCCATCACATGTGAGTCTCTCCCCGCGTAGCTGATGAGAAGATTCAGCATTTCTCCGTGGAGCTTCGTCTTCATCGGTCTTACTGATGGTCTCCATATTTTCGTTCACCAGAGCTCTCTTATGCCCCGAAGTTTCTTCCTTATTTTCAACAGCTTCCTCTTTGCAAAGTTCTTCCTCTTGGGCTTTCATGTCCTTGATGATTTCCCTACAGGTGTCGTCAGCTAGTGGCAAAGAAATTTTTTGAAATGTCGCGCCAATTCCCTCACTCAGGTTAACAGTCCAGAGCTGTTCACCATGTTTCAAGCCCAAATTTTAAGGAGTACTCAGAATTGCTTACCTCACGCACTGTTCACAAATTCTAGATTTAAGAAATTTTCGCTCTACCTCTCCTGCTATTAATGCAGCTTCGTATTTGCAACTTTCCGAGTCGATACCTTCCTCCCAAGAGGAACAGTGTGTGCATTTCCTGCGCCTGGATACCTCGTGATCGTTCCAGCATGCTTCTATCGTGTAGTGACACATGGCAATTTAAAGTTTCGATTTATTCGTTTATGGATTGGGGATTAAGATGATAGTAGCTAGGTGTCAGTTCACAACGTAATATCTATATCTATCATCAGGCAAAAAGGGAACAACAAATTCAAAGAGCACTTCCTAAAAGGCAAGTACTCCTGAAATTTATTCATTTCAAAGACAAATTGCATCTAGAATCTGCGTTTGATGCGTTGGAAGTTTCATTCCTGTGACATTCAAGGGCTCAAAGATAAAATCTGGGAATGCTTCGTCGAAATGTTCAGGAACATGCTTTATTATCTTTTTTTGATATAAATAATTAGTGTGAATAGGATGAAATTTTAATTTTTGTTTGCGTCGTCAAAAGGTTAGTAAAGCCTTACTGACTCATTACAGTGTAACCCAACGAAGTCTTTCAAGCCTATAGTACATGTTTTCAATCACGTTTCTTGTAGTACCATTGAACCACAGGTTCGATCTTCTCAATCGATTTTGCCAGAAATTTGGCATTAATTGAGAAAAGTTTGGGGATTTCATTCCTTGTCCGGCGAAAACTGACGGGTAGGATGACGACACTGGGGAGAAACTTGTAGTCTCGTGTAAAACATATAACCAAAAAGTCATTCGACCTTCATCGCATGGCTTTCGTCTTTGCGTGGAATCATACCACAGATCGAAGATGCACATTCTCGCAACACGATTTTCTAGTCTTCGAGGTAGAGTCAAGAATCACTGAGCTCGACACGTGCTTCCACTAGGTATCATCTGAAAGCGCCCCTAATCAGATTAATTAAGCGAGCTTCGCAGGGAGAGTCTGCATTTAATAGCAAGTCAAAATTTATTGAACACACATCGATTGATTTCTCAGAGTTACACAATTCTGGAATAGAATAACAACCTTCGATACAATGGGATCTATGGCCATAACACAAATAAACTTAAAGCATTGAAAGATTTAATTCCGCAATAAATGAAAGCCTTGAATGGAGTTCAAATGGCAATGTCACCCACTCTCATTCAGCTTTTCAAAAAAATAAATCAAACAGTGATTCTGATTGCTCAGCAGGTTTTGCTGGCTGCTGAACAATTTTGGGCAACAAGTGAAACCGAAGATGCAGCACCACCTTGACTACATCTCAAACTCTACATACTCCAATTTTCCCTCGTTACCTGCACCAAATTGATACTCTGAGATCCGATTGCGAATGTCATCCTGACATATATCAATATGGAAGAGTGATCATAAATGCAAGATTCTAATTCATGACATCATCACTCCTGATTCACGGGAGCGCGGTAACTAGCATCCGTTACCGTCATCCGTACCATCGCGGTCACCTCTCCTATCACACGGTTTGTCGGAAGCATGACTATTTTCGAAATGAAAGTTTCTCTGTGTATCATGTCGAAGATTGTTGGTCGTCGTCTGAGATTGAGAAATGATCTCTTGTTCACTGGACATTGTCCCGATAGGAGTAGACATTGCTTCTTTTCTGGATTGCGTAAATTAGCTGTGGGGAGCTAAGGAATGATTGTGAAGACTGGCGTTTCGGTGTCGGAAATACTTACACATCTTGCTCTATATTGGGATGGCATTTACGGCAAGGTTCAGGATACATCCAATGTGCAAATTTCTGAAGGTGCACTTCTGCCGCTGAGTAGATGTCGCAGGGAACGAAAGTCGACCGTGCTCGCGCACATAGGTGGATCATATCGAGCTTCATCCAGTGTGCATCCTTGGCTGAGCAGGTTATGATGTCAAACATACACATCGTGTAGTTTAGATGTTTGAGAATAAACTTTTGTGTATTTGATATCGAAAGAAGATGGGTAAGGGCCTAGAAACCTGATGTAATATCGTAATTTCAAAACAACTTTTGTGGAGAAATATATAGTCTAGTGTCCCGTACACATGTTTTAGAAGCTGCCGGACCCAAGAATCAAATCACTATTATTCTTTTCTCTTCATGTCTTTCATTTCCCGCCCCTTTATTCACTAAGAGGAAGCGGTCGTACACTCATCTTTCTTTTCAGTTCTCTTTTTCCAAGTGTGAGAAAGCCTTAGATCAGATCATACAACTATGCACAACGACTGTTATGACATCTTACATTATGCACTAAACTTGCCCAAAATATCCGGCACAGTGATTTTCTTACAGGATCTGTCACATTGGAAGCTTTTTATGTAGACTCAAGCAGTGCTTTATTTTGAAAGATGGAAATCTAAGCAGGATGTATGAAAGCTTTTCATAAGAAAAAACTCTACCATAAAAACAAACTCCCACATAGAGACTCCAAAGCAAATTTACTTTGAAAATGCGATCCTTCAAAAATGTTATTTCGGATAGTGATTCCATTCAAACAATCACACCATTTCCCATATGATTTTTAAAGTTCTCCTGTGCACTTCCATAAGACCTCAAAGTAAGGGGTTGAGATATCTTCTTCGTTAGGTCTTTCATCTTATCATTCTGACCCTTTTAGCTCATTCTCTAATGGGAAAGACAAATGAAAAAATACTAGAAGTCCTCTAATTCATATATAAATGTCAGCCTATCTCAACGCCACAGAATTGTTATCAGTACACATTGCCATTCCATCAACAGATATTTATCCCATAGTAGTCACAACCATCGCGCATTCATAGTTCATACAACTGAACATGGTTTCAAATTCCCAATATTTTCTTCGATCCGATATCACAAATTGGCCGTGTATCACCATTCCCATCCTGGTGGAAGTAGAGCACCGACATTGTCGAGCTATAGTCTATGTCTGCAATGGATGTAACGAGAGAGCCGATGTGCGTTATTTCTCCTGGTGTAATGTGCATGAAGGTACCAATTATAATTGTGGAAAACGTCACACTTATTATTATCTTGCACGCTTGGCGAGAGAAACGTGTTATAGTTGTTTGGTCATAATTAGGGGGAAGTAGGTGTCCAAAAAAAAATTGATTCGAAGATTATACGGACTGATTACATCACAGATCCCTAAAACATCCTCCTGGATTTCGTAAAAACCACCCTAAGCGGAGAAAACAGAAGAATTGTAGAGCACTTGCTCCTTTCAATCGCGACAAGAAGAAGCGTAGAGATACAAAGGGCCGAAAAAAATGGGTGAAAAGAGAAAGAAATCGTGATTAATCGGTTGGTTTCAATTTAGGCTTTAGCTTTGTGCACACAGCGTTGAAGAGACGGAGGACATGGATTCATTCAGCTTTTGATGGAATCTGGTTAATCGGAATTTGTGGCTAATCACGTTGTATTCAGTTCGTGTCAAGCATTGAATATCAGAGTGTAAATAGAAATTGTTTGTTGCTTGTTACACTAACTAAACTTGCGAAGTTCCAAGATGTTACATCCGAATAAAGAATAACAACGAAGTTTGTTATACAATCACACTAATCCTAAGATAAGAGTATTTCTCGAGAGGCAGCGTGATATCAATGCTAATATTGCAGGATGGATTCCCGGATAGGAAATACACAATCAAGTTCACAAGAGCACTCAATCTATGCTTCAATATACGAGGGCCTATTGGAGTCTGTCATGCTGAAGCCGTTTCTTTGATTCTATGATAAAATGTATCATTGGTCACCTTGATGTTTAGTCAGAGATCAGACAAAAGATGTTGAGAGAAATTCTCAAGTATCGTTTCTCGGATTTTCGTACTGGATCAAGATAAAAACGGGCAAGGCTCTCAGAAATGATATGTGGTATCACGCACATGACGTGGACGACCACTTGCACAGCATTAAGGATTCGCAAAACGCTACCAATGTGCATCCATTAAACTCTTAATGTAGTTCTCAGCTAATTGGTGCTTCGAGTATGTTACCATATATGAAGCGGCTCATAAGGCTTGTCGCCGAATTGTTTCATTTTTTCTTCAAGGCCCCAAGAGAAACGTCGATTTTGATCAATCAACTCAAATAACTTCCGTATCAAGATGCCTGGTTGTGAAGTATGTTTTGACTTGAATCCTGGCTCCGAAGGTGGATTGATCAACTGGAAGATTCATATTACAGATGATTGTGCCTGTGAATTTCGTCTGGCTTTTGAAAGTGCTCAACTCAAAAACTCTGCTGGAACTCAATGTTCGAGTTGCTCGATGATCCAAAGTGGAATTAGCTTGATTGAAAAGAAGTATTCGACTAGAAATCATCGGATAGATGTGAAAGAAGGGGGGACTTTAATTCTTCGTGAAGGGATTCCACTGATATTGGAACTGAAAAACTTGCTACACTTCGAGTACTTTTCTAAAAGAGGTAGGTCACACAACATTCACATACCAATCTTCTATTCACAGCGATACTAGATACATGTCAAGGAACCGATACCCGAACTCCTTGGATAAAATCCTTTGGCATAACTGAAGACGTGCCTCCAAAACTGTCGATAAAGAGCTGAAAATCTATCATCAATAAAATATTGTTACACTGAGCACGGTTCTTGTTCTATCAAAGCACCAGAGGAACAAGTCCTTCCATCAAGACTACTTGATATAAGAAAAAAAGCTCATAATGCAATCGTTCCTGTGGAGGTTCATAAAAACAACGGCTCGGAGGCAAGAAAAGCCATCACACGTTATGCGACACTCAGTCGTTGTTGGGGAAAAGTCCAGCTTCTGAAAACAACCAAGAGTTCTTTAAACAAACACAAAAATGGAATACGACCAAGCATTCTTCCCAAAACTTTCCGCGAATCGATAAAAGTACTTCAAGCTCTCAGGATTCACTATGTATGGATAGACAGTTTGTGTATAATTCAAGACGACGATGCGGACTGGAAGCGTGAGTCAGCATGTATGGCTGCCATCTACTCTCACAGCTATTTAAATATCGCTGCAACAGGTGCAAGAGATAGTACGGGTGGATGTCTTAACATACGATGTTTGAAGCAACTGTTATTTAAATTTGGAACAAAGTCATACCCCATCACCGATCAAGGCAGGAATATTGATTGGGGAATTCGACTCCGCCCTTCATTTGAATCAGTCCATCACCGTTACAATAGTCGGGTGAGTTCTGAAACAGACCTTTTGGATAAGATAAATACCCCTCTTTTGTCTCGAGCTTGGGTATTTCAAGAACGACAATTAGCACCGCGAACTTTACATTTCCATCCTTCCGAACTCGTAATGGAGTGCAAATCAGGTCTCCGCTATGAATGCACAGTTCTTGAAAGAATGAACGAAGATTCAGGCAGTAATTCGAAGGATCAAGATAGCTTGGGACCTGAGGCTTACGAAACATTCAATGAATGGAATGAATTGGTCAGAGAGCATTCGCAATTGTTGATCACGAGGGAATCAGACCGGTTGATTGCGCTTATTGGAATTGCAACCCAATTCCAGAAAAAAGTGAATTGTGGAAATCTAGCTGGACTATGGAGCTCTGATATTGCAAAGGGCTTGTTGTGGGATATTACTGGAAGCCCTTACATGAGAGAAAGAAAGGATCTAAAACGTTTTGAAGAACCCTTTGCCCCCACTTGGTCCTGGGCCTCTCTGGTTCAAGGCGTAGGCACTTTCACCACCTCAGTTGTGTTTCAGCCAGGCCAAGTGCTCACACCCCACGAAAATTTCAGATACTTGGGGACCAATTTGTCGTATTCGGCCAGTGATTGGCATAATATGCAAGGCAAAGCTTATATCCAGATCCAATGTTTAGCTATACCTGCCATCGTGTACAAGGAACGAAAGCACCCCGGTGGTTCTGTCAGACCCAGACTTGTCTTCAGGAGTGAATACAATCGAAAATTCGAAGCTAACTTGGATATGTCTCCAATTATCTCGACAGCTGATGAGATTTTCTCTGTTGCGAGCAGTACTGATATCTACCGTTTAGTAGTTGCAAGAAGATATCACACAGATGAAAATACCAACCAAAAAAATTCCTGGCTACATGTCCTAATGTGCACATCTTTGGAGACAACAACAACCAAAGAGATCGAGACAATAAGAATTGGGGTCTGCAGCATATTTGAAGCTGAGACACCACTCAAGTTCGCGCAGGATTTGGGTTTCAAGCTGCTATGAGAAGTCAGAATATCAGGTTACATACAACTACCTTTGTTAATCGGGATTTCTGTCGAGTTCACTTCTGCACTATACAAGGTTTCTTTGATCTGTAGAACTGTGAATGATACGAACAGAAATGAAGATAGCAAACCAAAAAAAAGCTCTACACCCCATTGATGAAGAACGAACGTATTATGCCATCACATCGGAAAGAAATATTTGGTGGGGTCTACCGCAAAACATGTCAATCACCGTAATCACTGCCATTCTTTTAGGGCTTCTATTTCTATTCGATAGTAAGTTCTCGTAAATTTGTTCGAGTGGAATGATGGAATGGCTGTCAAACATTCAATTCATTCATCTAATTACTTCCTTGATAACTATTGTCATCAATTTAACACAATGAATTCTGAACTAACGTGGTTTATCATCGAGTAGCCTATATCATTGAGTGGCTCATTTTCATTTCAATTTACATCTATCTTTTTCAATATATGTTTTATCAATAATCTATAATAAATTCGAATAATTAAGAAGCTTATATATTCCTTATTATTGAAGCTATTTATAAAGATAAAAAATTAAGTATTCGAAAGACTATTATACTCTATAATATTCCTTATACAATTTTTTGATATAGAATGGAAGGTTTATTTCTTTATATAGAAACTTAAGCGAATTGTTATAAGATTATAGAATTAAAAGAAAAAGTGATTGTTTAATATATACTTGATATGGATTTAAAAGGATTTCTATTTAAATTAAAGAATATGAAAGATATGGCGAATAATATTCTCGAATTAAAGGATATGAAATATATTAAAAAACTCTGGGTATATTAATTTATAAAATATTGAATCAAATTAAAGACACATTTTAATTGTATTTATAACTATTAAAGAGCTTTCTACAAGAATCCTAAGCTTTTTGAAGAATGGTTTCAACTAATTACAAATATACGAGCGAAATATAATATTTTAGATAGAGATTTCTACAATTTTAATGAAATAGACTTTATAATAGGGATTATATATGTAATAATAATAATAATTAATACTAAACGAAATGGCAGAAGCAAGATAGTACAACCAGGTAATCGAGAATGAGCTATAGTAATAATATACAGAAATAAAGAGAATGAAACTATTTGTTACGACGACATCTAACATACCGAGTCACCTGATCAGAAAGTCACGGGATTAGAGATTCCCACTGGATCCCACTGCTCCCACCTGGTGGGACACGATGGGATCAATGGGACAACAAGGAACGAAGGTCTATATAAGGGAATGGGTTTCATTACAATGTAGAGCTTCGTGCTCAAGAACAATCATTAGTTTCATTACTATAGTTACGAGAATTGCAACCAGTTACAACCTTATTGAATTCCTACTTGAAGTCTAGTCTAAACCACCTCGAGAGATCTCTAGACACTTCCACGTGACCCTAGAGGCAGCTCCCGTAACACTATTCCCTCATTTTTAATAATTTAAGGATAAGTTTATCTTTTTAATTAATATATCGAAACGAATTTTCCTACGAAATAAGCTATTAAATCTATATCTAATAGATGGATAAATAATAAGATAGATTTAAAATAATTGAAATACTTTGATAAATATATTAAGAATTGAAGAAAGGGTAAATATTGAATATTGGTACTAAATAAGTAACGTGATTCATCACCGAGTGGATCATATCACCGAGTGGATCACTTTCACCTCAAATATTCATGTTTCAATTCAATACGCGTTTTATTAATCAATTATTATGTAATCGAATAATAATGAAGCTCGAATATTCTTACTTATTGAGGCTATTTGAAAAGACAAAAAACTCAGCATTCAATAATCTGTTAAGCTATATAATATACTATATACAATACTACACTATAGAATGAATGGTTTTACTTTTCGTATCGAATCTTTATGAAATAGTAGTAACCTTTTGAAATTAGAAAAGGAGATCATTATTCAATATATAATTGATATAGATATGAAAGGTTTTGCACTTAAATATAAGGGGATAGAAGATATAGTGAATTATATTCTTGAATTAAAAGGAGTAAAAAGAGTTGAAAAGCAATAGACGTATCGATTTGTAAAACACAATAAAGAGTTAAGGATGTGTTTTACTTGTATTTATGATTTTCAAAGAGCTCTTTATAAAGATTCTAAGCTTATTGGAGATTGGTTCCGATGTATATCAAATATATGAGACAAATTTGGTATTCTCGATTGTGATTTATGGAATTTTGATGAAACAGGCTTTATGATGGGAATTATAAATGCTGGTATGGTTGTTATTAGCTCTGAAAGATTTGGTAGGAATAAAGCTATAAGTCAACTACCCCACTTTCCGACCACCCCCTCTTTTCGACCACCTCAAAAACCACACCGCTTTGAGTAATTATAAAATTTATACTTTGAATAACTCAACAATGCTTTAATCAATTAATTTGAAATTTTGATATTATTATAATTGTGATATGAAGAATAGATATACCGAAGAAGATATCGCAGAGGCTCTTAGAGCGATTACAAATGGAGCAAGCATACGAAGAGCTAGCTTGGATTATGGTGTTCCACGTACCACACTTCACGATCGAATATATGGTGGAGTTTCGCATCAAAAAGGCGCCCAAATACTTCAAAAGTTATCTCCAATTCAGGAGAATCGACTAGCAGAATGGATATTAGTACAGGAAGCTCTTGGTACTAGCCCTACACATCGTCAAATCAGAGAGATGGCAGAGCACCTCCTTATTGTACGAGGGGAGGATCCCTCACTTGGAAAGAAATGGATACATAGCTTTTTTCGAAGGCATCCTAATATTGGAACTAAGAAGCAACATCAAATCGATTCTGCACGAGTTTCAGGTGCTACATCTGATATTATTAAGAAGTGGTTCCGGAACCTCGCAATCCCTGAAATCAAGGCTATTAAGCCGGCCAACAGATGGAATATGGATGAAGCAGGTATAATGGAGGGTCAGGGTCTTAATGGACTAGTAGTAGGAAGCACTGATCGAAGATTTATTCAAAAAAAGCAACCTGGATCTCGAATTTGGACCTCTTTTATAGAATGCATTTCAGCCAATGGAAAAAGCATTACTCCCCTTGTAATATATAAGGGAAAATCAGTTCAACAACAATGGTTTCCAACAGATTTGACTCTATTCAAGGGTTGGAACTTTACCGCTACAGAAAATGGATGGACTACAGATGCTACAGCTTTAGAATGGCTGAAAAAGATCTATATCCCTCAAACTACCCCTATTCAGCCGGAAAATTCAAGACTCCTCATTTTGGACGGACACGGAAGCCATGAAACTACAGCATTTATGTTAGAATGCTTTAATAACAACATATATCTCTTATTTCTCCCACCACATACGTCACACGTACTACAACCACTCGATTTATCTGTGTTCTCACCCCTAAAAAGTGCATATCGAATCGAACTTAATAAATTAAGTCTATTATCCGATTCCTCACCAATTGGAAAGCGCAATTTCCTTTCTTGCTATCAGAAGGCTAGAATAGAAGGTTTAACTATTCAAAATATCAAGTCTGGGTGGCAAGCTAGTGGTCTTTGGCCCAAAAATATGGCTAAACCTCTTATGAGTCGACTTTTGCTTGAAAATAGCAATAGAGAGGTTTTATCACTTAATCCTGAATCTGATGATGATCCTATTCTTCAATGGAATATATATTCATCGTTTATTCAATGGAAAACCCCTCAAAAAGGAGCCGATATCAGAAAATATAGAGATATAATGATTCAAGAGAAGGAGATCGATTTGCCAACACGAAGATTACTATTTCGCAAGATTATAAAAGGATTCGATGCTAAGGATTATGAACTCTTAGAGGCAGAGAATAAGATTAGAAAGCTAGAATATCAATTAGATGAAGCATTACCTAGAAAAAGGCGAAAGGTTGTGGTATCTCCAAATTCGAAGTTCGCAGGGATTAGAGCTATAAGGCGTACACAAATTGAAGCTGGAGATCGTGAAGATGAGGTAGATGATAGCTCTAGTGCTATAGAAAGTGATTCTACAGGCGATTTCATTGAAGTTCAATAGTTATTGAGTTATTAAAGTTTTAAGTGTAGATAATATGAATTTTTTAGGTGGTCGGAAACAGGGGGTGGTCGGAAAGTGGGGTAGTTGACTTATAGCCAGGCAATCGAGAATAGGTGACAGCAATTATATGTGATAATAGTGAGGGGGATATTATACCTCCATTTCTGATAGTTCAAGGATAGATGTATTTTTCCAATTAGTATACGGAAACCAATCTTCCTGTAGATTGAGCTATTAAATCTACTTCTAATGGATGGACGAATAATGAAATAGGATTAGAATGATTGAAATACTTCGATAAATATATAAGAAATCGAACTAAGGGCAAATATAGAATACTAGTATTGGATGGGTATGAAAACTACGAATCAATATTATTTCAGAATTATTACAAAGAGAATAATATTAAATATATATGTTTACTATTGCATTCAAATCATTTAATTCAGCCTCTTGATATTGAATGTTTTAGTACTTTAAAACGAGAATATAGTATTCAAATTGAAGGGTTTATAAGAGCACATATTAATTATATCTCACAGGTTGAATTCTTTATAGTTTTCAAAGCTGTATATCAATGGTCAATCACAAATCAGAATATGAAAGCTGGGTTTCGAGGAGCAGGATTAGTTCCATTTGATCCTGAAGCAGTGCTTTCCAAATTAGATATTCGAATCCATACGCCTACTCCCCCCCCTTTCAATTTAGATCTCTAGATCTCTCAAACTCCTTATAATCCTATAGAAGCTCTTTCTCAATCAACACTAGTTAAATCTTGAATAACTTGTCATCAATCAAGCTCTTCTACATTTTTATTTAAGATTGTATTAGCTTTAGCTAAGGGTATAAAGAGACTAATATATAAGAATACACTTTTAAGTGTAGAAAACTGTATACTTCGAAAAGCTAATAAAGCATTAAGCCGACATTGACGTACAAAAAAGACACAAATATATCAAGGAAGAGTACTTACTAAACAGGAGGCTATGGATATATTATTTTAATAAGAAGTTGATATTCAGATTCGATATAACAAGCATTAAAATAGGGGGAATTCTAATAAGGAAGTATCTTCTAATCGATGTTATAGTAATTATGGAAAGACAGGTTATAATATAAGAACTTATTAAATTGATATAATAGATCCTAGATTATTAGATTCTTAATAGCTTTAATCAATTGAATCAATAGTTATTGAATAATATGAATTTGAATGTGTCAATTGAGATGAAAGTGATTCACTCGGTGATGAATCACGTTATAAAAGTTATGAATTAATAGCTTTTCAAATATATTATAAAGAGAACAATATTATATGTTTATGTTTATTATTGTATTCAAGTCATTTAACTCAATCATTTGATATTGGCTGTTTTAGCAATCTAAAATATTTATATGATAATTAAATTGATGGATTTATCAAGGTATATATTAATTATATTTCAAAGATTGAATTCTTTATAACTTTTAAAACTATATATAAGGAATCAATCACCTCTCAGAATATAAAATCAGGATTTCGAGAAATAGGTTTAATCCTATTTAATCCTGAAGCTATACTCTCGAAATTAGATATTCAAATTCATATACCTATTCTTCCCTCTTTCAATCTAGATTAATGAATTTCTCAAATCCCTCATAATCCAATAGAAGCTCTTTTTTAATCAATATTAGTTAAATCTTGAATAACTTATTATTAATTAAGCTCTTTTATATCTATATTCGAAATTATACTAGTTTTAGTTAAGGGCATAGAGAGATTAGCTTATAAGAATATACTTTTAAATATAGAGAATTGTACATTTCGGATAGTAAATAAGGTATTAAGCAAATGTTGATGTATAAAAAAAACTTAATTATATTAAGGAGAAGTGCTTATTAGATAAAAGGCTCTTAATATATTATTTTAATAAGAGGTTGATATTCAGATTCAATATGATAAGTATCAAAAAGGGGGGAATTCTAATGGAGAAGTATTTTCTAATCGATATTATAGTAAATGCGGAAAGATAGGATATAATACAAGAACCTATCAAAATAATGTAATAGATCCTAGATTATTAGATTCTTAATAATTTCAATTAATTGATTCAATTATTATTGAATAATATGGGTTTGAAAGTGTAAATTGAGGTGAAAATAGGCCACTTGATGATATGGGCCACTCGATGATAAACCACGTTATATAATCTGTATGATATACCCGACTAATGAATCAAAGTATAACCCTTGCAAAATGAAGATTCAAGTAATAGTTGACTTAGAATATAAGAAATAAAAAACATCTTCAATCTTACCTCCTTGAACCATACTCCTTCATTCTCCCTTTGAATGTACTGCTCTCAACTCTTTAAACCAGTCAATCAACTTGGTAGATTATCGAAAACTCACCCTTTTTTCCATAAACCCCTTAGATCGATGCCAATATGACCATGAAGATTATGAGAAGTGTAAAGATCTCTGAGGTTCAGTGACAGCCATCAGGCATATACCAGTAATTTCTTCCGTTCCTTGATGTATCTCATGGAAGTGCATGGCAAAAACAGTTATACCCATTCATCATGCCTAAGATAAATTGCATCAATACTGCGAGGAGATTCTTAATCTAGAAGCTTCAAATCGCGCAGCATTGGCTCTTTGTAATGTAAGTGTGCCGGCAACTTGCTTGAGTATCTAGTTTGTGAATCAATGAAGGTCTTGTCCTTTTCCAAGGATCCATGGAATTCTGGACATTGAAACAAAAGATTCTCGAACGTGCAGCGGACAGTGACCCTCGTCATTATATAATCTAATTGGGAACGTTGATACTGGTTCTGATTCAAGGCTCTCTTTAGGTGGAAGGCTCTGCTCATCTTGAGCTTTCCACCGACATAACTCCTAGAAGATCTCACCTGAAGTTTCGATCCCTTACTATGCAAACACTTATTCTTTCGGACTGTCATCATACCATAGATTGAAGTTTCGAGCCGTCCAACTATTGTTGTGACCAGCATACAAAGAAGCATGTTATGCATATCTGTAGCATTAGTCGTCCTCCATTTCTTTTCCTTTGGATCGATGAGATTCAACATGGATTAAACTCGAAGCATCTCGTAAGATAGGTTTTACAGATATCTTCAAAATATAGAGTAATACTTCAGTCAAAAAGACATAATCGTTCATATGGGATATGCTCCTTTGTTTTGATATACCATTTGAAAATGATCGTATATACTCTGCAAAACCTGAGAGTTTTAGCAATGGCTACTCCTACAAATCATATCCAGCATGAGTGCCAACTTCCCATTCCAAAATCTACAGAATCTACCTCCTCAGCCTCAACAATGTACTGCATATTGGTCTAAGTACAGATGCGGACATCCGGGTAAGTGTACAAACCTCCACAGATGTGCCATACACGCCTTACCTCCTTGGACCTGTCATCCCATCAGGCGCGTTGAGACCGGAGAGATCAAAAATTACGATTGTCCTGATTGCCAAAATAGGTAAGAGGATTTAATAATTCTTATGGCTAGATCTGAAAGTTATGACTAACAGAGTTGTTTTCCCCTTAGAATATCCAAATATAGAAATAATGACAGAAAGGGCCCGAGACGCCCTGATAGGAGAAGTAAGTCGAATAGGTACAGTAATGATCTGAGAACTAGGAGTACCACTGTCAAGTAGGGCAACACCGAAAGTAATATTGGGACTCAAAGAAAAGATGACGAACATGAGATCGAGGTTGAGGTTCGAGAATAGAAGATATTCATGACGGCGACGGGAGTTCCGTAGCAGACAGCATAAATTAGGTAGTATTTTGTTCTGTAACTATGTCTAATCTGAATCGTTGAGTATTGATCATTTTGTCAAATAATGGCGTTTGGAAATTTGAATGAGCTTCGATGATAGACGGCTATGTGACTCTCACAAATACCGTAATCCCAAGTCACGCAAGTTATTCGAAATATGATTGATCGAGTGTCTAACTAGGAGCTGTCCAAAAGTTCTTTCACGACTGCACTAACGGAAATGCTCACATAAACTATCTTGAGTAAGCAAAAGAGAGCTGAAACCGAAGTATCATTCTGGTGATAAACATTTATGAAAGAAGTGCTTTCCTGAGTATTTTTGCAGTAAGAATTTTCTACCTACAAGTTGTAAGATAAAAAGCTATCAAGAAACGTACCGCATTGCTTGAACCATCGACGATATATTTCACTTAGACTTTATTCACGTCACATGAAGGGGGCTCGCAAAATAGCCGAAGACTCAAACGACCAAATGAATAAGAGTTTGTAGAATCTATGCTAAGTCTCGTATTTAAATAGCAGACCAAATTCAAATGCTAAACAAATAAAATTTAATCTCCCCAATTATTGAGCGATACAGTTTAATACATTCCAATTAGATACTGATCAAAGTAAATACAATTCCCGCTCTACATCAACGCCCAACTAACAAATACTGCTCTTCCTCAATTTTCAAACTCAGCTAAGTGCAATCCAGAAGTGACTAGCTAGTAGCTACCCCACCTAATCGCAAGAAAGAGATCTCAACTTGTGAGATAGATCAGCTACATCATTCTTATCCCCATACCCCTCCATCTCCATATCCACATCCATCTCATCATCTATGATTTCAGCCTCCATCTTCGACTGCAAATGTGCCTTTGCACTCATCCTCGACTTCTTGGGAATCTTCTTGGCGATCCTCGAGGAATTCTTCATCGATGGATTTGTGGGAGTGTTTGCTGGTGCTCTAGAGCCGCCTTCACTGCGGGACTTAGAAATAGCTCTTCTGTATCTCATTTCATCATTTCTAGCCTGTTGAAACTTGACGTCTTTGCTTCTTGCCAACTTATCTCCTCCCGTTCCACTTGGTGTGGATCTTCGCTTAATACCACTGCGGCTTTTATCGAACAAGCTGTGTCGCTTGAATATTCTCTTATCATCGCTTCCTGATGAAGGGGTGCCAGTGGCAGAGTTCGTGGGAGTATTCATATAGATTTCATCGGAAGCATACCCGGAACTTCTACCAAGAATACGCAGTTAGCTACGGATCTCACATCTCCAAATCTTGAATCTCGATTTTTCAAATCGTAGCGGGAAAAGACGTACTAACCTCATAACGCATTCTGCGCAATCTCTATCCTTTACTTCATCCGTGTACACCACCTCAGGGATACAAGGCTGATTGTCAAAATGATTTCTGCATCTTGCGCTGTTTTCCTGCCCGTTGTGAAGACATCTGTATTGGAAAATGCCAATCTGGCAGCGTCCTGAGAAGATCGAATTTGGGGTGTTACTCATTTTGAGGATTTTTGTGACTTGAAGAAGGCGAGTTGATGAGATTTGAAGAAGTTTTTTTGATTCGATTCTGATGGTCTTGGTGTGACTTTGATAATCTTGAAGAGGAACAACTAGCGGTGATGCTTGCGGTTTGGATAAAGTGTTTATCAAGTGTTTATGGAGTGTTGTGACTTTGCGTCTGGAAATCGAGAATAGATAATTGTGTTGGAGCAGACGTAAATGAAACATATATAGGTAGGAGGAGATTCCTAGCCGAAGGGATTAATACGGTGCAAGTGTATATGCTTTCCTCTTAACAATCTTTCGACACGCTGTAAACATAGTACGGCCTGACCGTATCATCCTCAATGTCACTCACATACAAAGCTGTTATGAACTGGGTCTACTGTGCCATACAGAGATAATGTTGATAACAGGTTGCCACTAGAGAGCACTTGATACACCATAAATATCATATGTTCTGACCGTATCACCCTCGATATCATTCACACACAAAGCTGGTACGGACTGAGTATACAGAATATACGGAGGTACGGTCGTTAGTTAATAGCAAAATACCACTAGAATATTCAACTCACCGTAATACAAGATTTCTGAAACACTACGGCGACAAAAGTTGGCGCCTTTGCGTTCTTTAGTGACGGAGAGACAATCGCTACACACCGTTTTGACCAGACAATACAAGAAGTACAGCATCTAAGAGTTTTCAACTTTGAAGGCGAGCTAGGTAATATCTAAAATTTTAAGCGATGAATCTTGTGAGATGGAGTCAAAAAAGAGATATCAGACAACAGCCTCATATTTTTCAAAAGCGATATAAATTATAATGAAGTGATTAGCATCAAAACTACTCTCATTCGGACTGAATCCTTCGTCCCCTCATGCTAAGATAACTACGGCAAATGACTCTCATGCCCCTTTATTCTTACGACACATTCTGCTCATCAGAGACGAGAACCTAATTTTCTTCTCTGGAGAAATGCGGAAAGCATATCAACAGCGATCCTATCAAGCCATTCTAAGTTTCACTCTTCAACGCAACCACTACAAAATCTAGATCTCTCTTGTCCTAACCGATCTACTCACAAAAGCTAGAAGTCAACGGAACGAGAGACATCAGGGCACAAGATAGTATATATCGCCATACAAGCAAAAGCAACTTCAGTATTGTCTGTAGTAAACTTTGATTACCGGTCAATCACCAGCTAGAAAGTTTCAACCCGTCATGAGATTTAAATAACAAATATGTATCTAACACACAAACTTCACTCAAGCTCTAAGTTTCCTCTTTGGCATGTTCAATACCATATGACCCTCCTCATGTTCTGTAAATCCCAATTTCTCTGCCTCCTTCCATACTTCTGGATATAATTCCTTTGCCCATTCCGCCACCAAATCTTTCCTATTTGAGCCTTGAATTGCATTATAAATCGTTCCAATGCTGCTATATGTTAGAAAAGTCTTGAGAGCAACAGAGTAAAAGTGCATCTTACGTCAATATATCCGGACCAAATCCAACATCTTTCTCCATAGCCTCTACCAACACCTTGACCTCATCCAATTTTCCCTGTCCAGCCAATGCGCCAGCAAAAGCAGCATGAACTTCCCTCGTGATCTCAATCTCCATCCTCTTCATCTTATCCCATATCTCCCTTGCCGGTTTATCCCCAAAAGGTTTTCTCTGACATGCTTGAAACACTATTTCCAGACTCTTGTAACTAGGTCCTTCGCGAGAATTTGTGATGTCATCCCAGAAATGTAGAGATCGACTAGCATCTTCGCAAGCCGTGTAAGCCAGCATTAAAGAGTTATATAAACGGGTATTGGGTTCTATGGTACTGTCCATCTTCAACATATTGTGAACCATATCGAGAGATTCGGCATCTGCACATGATGCTATACCAACAAAACAATCAATATAAGTATCAAGCACGGGACGTCTGTTTGGGCTGATGTGCTGACGCATGTGACCAAAGACATGACAAGCCATATCCGATCTTTTGCGATCAAAGAATTCATTCATAATGCGCGTACGTGTAGGAACATCAGTCTCGTCGAAAATGTGGGTGACGACACGATAAGCATCCCATATACGGTCCTCATGATTGTTTCTGTCAAAACAGAAAGCAAGTATCGCGTCCCGTATTTGAGCTCGCTCTAAAAGGGTATAGTGGTATGTATTGGCCTGTAGCAAATCTACTACATCATGGAGTTCATTGCGGGCAATGTACATAGTAGAAAGTGACGAAACTGTATCTGCTTCTAACCTTGCATTACGCTCGTCAAGGTCAGAAACGATTGATGAGATTTCGTTGTAAGGCAGATTCTCCGAAGCACACAGTGCTCGGACGAATCTATTAATCACAGGCAAATCCTCGTCCTTGTAAATCTCCTCACCTTGGAGCAGATTATAGGATGCATGGGAACCCGAAAGATCTCCAGCACCGACTCGATAGTCCATCTGCAGGATGAAAGTCCTTGCATTCGGACGAATATTGAACTTTTGTCCCAGCGCGATGTAACGCTCTGCAAGATATGGATCATTTTTCGATATTGCATATTCGACCAAACCATTGATAGTGTCAATATCAGGTCTCATAGAATAATCGTCAGGATAACGCTTTTCCATGACACGCATCATACGTTCCACATCTTCAACGCCTTTGTCCATAGCACTCGCAGCCCATTGAAACACGACATCCCACTTTTCTTTTTGCAATTTTTCTGATTCCAGAACCTTGCGAAAGATACCCTTACACCAATCCAGCAGTTCCCCATGACGAAGAGAGAATTTGAGTATATCCTGCAGTATACTAGGGGTGAGTTCCAACGGATCATAGAATACTTTTTCAAACCATGCTTGCGCTTCCACAACACGGTCCCTAGACGTATAGAACTTGACGACGATTTCCTTGCTAGTATTATTACGTCCTACGCGTAGTTCTTCCAATCTCTCGTATGTTTTCAATAGTTCCACCTCGTTTCCTTCGCGCGCAAATCCAGATAAAACGGTAAACCAGTTCCGTTTTATGATTTTCCGCTGCGTAGCACTGTACTCTTTGATTGAAGAGCCTGAGAGAGTTTTCTCATCTTCTAGAAAATTTCGAGCCTCCTCTTCGCAAAGCTCTCTAGCTTCTAGAGATTTCCCAACCCCGCTCAGTATCTTTATAAAGCGCTCATAACTTGGCGCATTCTCATTGGATCCAGATAGCCCTGACAACTTCTTGATTTCTAGGAAAAGAAGCCTCGCCAATTCAAGAAAGTCACCCGTTTCGTCTTTAGGAATAATCGTCAATGCTTTCAAAGCCGTCATAAAATCCTTGAGCTGCCCATCTTCCACCCCACAACTAACTAGGTACTTCAGTGTCCTCAACGCATGCCCTGCCTCGATATTATTAACTGCTCGTTCCGTATCGACCTTATGTTTGAAGAATTCATTGAAAGCTTTGAGCATATCATCCTTATTCGCAGTTCGTGCGTGAATCTTCGTCATCAAGCTAAATTCTGCCATCTTTTTCATTCCGGGTTCTAAGTCCGGCGCTTTTGGCTGTCGTGGAGGTTTTCGAGAAAATCCAAAAAGAGAACGGCGCGATCCGTAGGACACCGTAGGGAGTGCATTCCGGCGACGTCGAAGTATTAATGACGATGGTGCCCGGTTTTGGCATGGTAATATGAGGCCTTCGTTTGACAAGAGTCCACGGAAGACTCTGCGGGTCAATTGGGAGCGCATGGTTGAGAAATGGTAATGCTATGTACAGAATCTACAAAACCAAAGGATTAGATGAAAATAGAAGAAGCAGTAAAGTTGTTTGACTCACGGTATAATAGAAAGAATTATAATTGACCTACTAACAAGCCTCAAGGTGTTCATTAACTTTTTTGCCATTGGCCTTCGAAGCTTGGAAAATGTACGGCAACTCCCGTTTAGATCCGCACTAAGATTCAGCCAATCATTGATGTTGAGAAGCTACCCCTCACTAATCCCTATTTGAAACAACGTAACTCGACTGGACTGGGTCACTAATTGAATTAAGATAGCAATGAACCATTTTAGAGACTAAAGCAGAAGAATAAGGTTTTGTCAAGATCAAAACTACCCATCACACATACAGAATAGTCACCTCGAGCTTATACAGAGACATAATTAGTTGCCCTTAAAGATCGTTTCAATTATCTCGATTGCGTGAGAATAAACCTGCCAAAACCATCAGAACCACCAATCTAAAATGTCTAATGGACTACTACCGCGAGAAAGCTCATCATCGATGAATTATCCCCCCAAAACCCGCCAACCAATCTAAAATCCTCCACCACCATCTGCAAAACGCCAATAGAATCATCAATCATACCATCAATGCCCATACCATATATAGCTTAACGCCATCTCCATGTCCAGAAACACATATAAAGCTCAAAATCATAGTAATTCAGGCTCTTCATCTTCCATACCATCTTCATCACTATCCCATTCTACATCGTTTGCAGCTGCTTCGGCTTTGCGTTGAACCTCTGCTAGGCCACTCAATTCGGTGATGTAGTCCTTTTCAGTTAATGCGCGCTTGATAAATTCCCATCCGTCTTCTTTGTATGCATTCACAATCTTGGGTGAGCAGGCTGAACAGCAATCGTAGGAAGGTCCGCTGATTAGCATGGTTTTGTAAGCGGCCAAGAAACCTCGAATCTGATGAGGTACGAGACCTAGAGGATGATTTGGTGGGTCCCGATCGAACTCCAATTGACCGGATTGTTGATTCGAAGAGAGCTTTGGAGCTGGAGCAGCACCTTTCAATGGATGTTGAAGAACAGAAGCAAGCAGTTCTACAAGCTTAGAAGATGCCTCGGGTGCCACACCTGGTCGAGTGACTGTGCATTGTTGATCAAGAGTTTGATCTTTCACGGACTATAAGAGCTATGTTAGCAAGCTATGTATGAATGGTAAGAAATAAAGAGAACTTACGTCAGATGGTGCTACAACGTCATTACAGAAGTAACAGCCTAGAGCGGCAGGACCTCCATCTTCAGGAGTAACCCCATGTCTCATCACAACATACGTGTCAAATCCCAAAGCTGCATTCATTACGATCTTACCGGCCGCTTTTCCCATAACAGTTGGGAGCCATCTGCTCTCACGGGTATCCATTAATAAAAAGATTGCATCGTGATCCTCAATGAGCTTTTGTAAAAGTTCGAAATTCGCCTTTGTAGCAGCTTCATCTGTGATTGGATGCCCAAGCATTGGTACTGACATTACATGTCCCGTGCTATCGACTCCTGGATATATTTCCTGAAGAGCTTCAGACGCTCTATATGCTTTCTTGGCACCACCATCAATACAATCTTTGAAGTCAAACAATGGCTGGCGAACAGGATTTGAAAAAGATACGGAGGCATTGTCAATGAAGGTGATTTTGCGTACTCCCCAACCCATCAGAAGTCTCGAAACGTATGTCCCGAGGGTTCCAGCTCCAAGTAACAAGCATTTTGTGTTCTTGATAGCATCCAAATTCAATTCAGGTGCGATGCGCCACTTCATCAATTTAAGATTTAGATCTACCGCTTGGTCGGCTAATTGAGCGGGATCCATGTATTGAGCCAAGTTGGTGACTTTCGCAGTAAGCTTTCCAAGACTATTACGCTCCCAGCCTGTTACTTTAGGTATCTGATCTGGGGCAGTGAACTGATATTCTGGGTCGTAGATGCTCTCTAAAATCAAGATTAAACTCTGAGGCACATGGCGTTTTGCATGATTATCTCTGTAGCAAAGGATTTGGACTTTGTCGAACTTGTATCTCCGTCTAACTAGAACTAACAGGTTACGTAGCATCCACCCTGGATTCTCATGATAAGTAGACGGGTCTACAAAAGATACATATTGATCCTTTGCATCTACACCATTGAAGAACCCATTTTCAAATTCTCTCAAGGATCCAATAACCCACCTGAAGGGCAAGTCGGAGGTCGATTCGTTCTCCGGATCATGCGGCTGCTCCGAAGAAGCATATACTCGCTTGGCAAGAAAGAATCCATGCTCTCTATTATCGTGGCTGTAACGCCACGTACCAAGTTCTTCCGTAAGTGCCGTGGTTTCTTCTGCGCTAAATTTAGGCGGCTGCTCAACTTTCCGCCATGCCGGCTCCGAATGAAGAGCAGGAAAAGCAAACCAGTAGGTAAAAGTGTATTTCTTCAAATTTGCAAATGACAAAATAGTGAATGAAGAAAGTAATGAAGGGATGGAATAAATGGTGCCATCATTGATAGCATCCCAAATCTGCCCCTGTCAGAACGGCATCGAAGCGAGTCGATCAGATTATCACGGGACTTACTTGTTTAGCAGAAGTTTGTAACATTGCTTGTTTGTCCGTATTTTTGAAATCTTCGATGGTATTCACATTCTTGATTTTGCCCTCAGCTCGAATGTGACCAGATGGAACACTATGAATGAATCAGTGTCCATGTTCGAAACACGAAGGTGAATCCATACTCGTTGCTACTCAAAGCATTACCAAGAACTCTCATACGAGAACTTTGATCCGGACTCTGTGTAGCTCTTGGTTCATATAACCCAAGAACAGGTCTTGCAGAATCGTCCAGTTTATCATGATCGATCTTTAGTTGGGAAAGAGCTGTGTAAAAAGGTAGCTCTATTTCAGAAGCAAATGGGGCGAACTTTAAAGCCATGTCGAGTCGGTTGTTATCCTTTCTCACGCAAATAGCTGTGTACAAATCTTCAATAGTAGAAAATGAGGTTATTAGTTCTTCTTCCTCTCCGTCCCAAGGGCCTTCTTCAATAAAGGCTACGTCGGTATCTTGGGTACAGTCTTGACTCTGAAGATCAAAGGGGTTTGGTTAGCTTTGTTAATGTTTTGGAAGAGATGATGTGATATGTTGAAATCGTGGAAGAGTAAGATATCTTGTGAATGAAGTCAAGTTGTAGGAAGTGTAGTGTGATACCAGAGTCTTAGGTTCAAATCATGGGATAGATGGAAGGAAGGTCAATTAGGTTAGTGGGATACAGAACGTTGAGTTGATTCAGTAAGACAAGGATTCAACTCACATGGTCCGAGTTTATGTAAGCAGCCAATCGGTGATACTCCGGCATATTCATGATTGTTTCCCTCCAAGCTGTCTTTGCTATTTCACGCTTCCATAGGAATTTACAGAACCTCCCACCACACATCTTCACACAATTTGAGAAAGCAAAAATTGGGACAAAGGGTTTAGGAAACTTTGAGACGAAAAAAGGGTTTAAAAGTCATGTTTATTGGTCTGTGTGGAGGTAAGTGAATTTCCTAGGCTTATATACAATAATATCAAGTTGACTTTTGACAATAGGAATTTGTGCGGGCAAGAGTACAATCGCACAATATCTTGTAGAACATCATGGCTTTACTCACCTTTACCTGCGACCAGAGCAAGGCAACAAGAACTCTCCTCGAATCATCAATGGCGTCACAGCTGGAGAAGCAGAGAATGTTGAAGAGAATGGCATAACTCTAAGACAGAGATCAAAACCTCAATCGCAATCGCAATCACAATATACTTTCACAAGCACCACAGACCTCCTCGACTTCGTAACCAAGCGCTGGCGCGAACGATGGGTAACAACCAATATCTACACCGAGTCTATCCTTGACGCCCTTCTCCGACGCCCCTTCTTTATTCTCGTCAGCGTCGACGCCCCCGTCTCCATCCGCTGGAAACGCTTCCAAGCACGTCCCAATACACCCTCCACACCAATCACTCTCGAAGATTTCCTCTTCCGTTCCGATCAGCATCTATACGATCCCGAACACGGTCTACAATCCCTCATATCCCGCGCTACCATTCGTCTCCTCAATACCTCCTCCGATCTCGCCCACCTGTACGCTACACTCGGCAAACTCGATTTAACAAACGAAGACCGTCTCCGACCAAGCTGGGATCAATACTTTATGCAACTGGCTTCCCTCGCCGCCCAGCGCAGTAACTGTATGAAGCGCCGCGTCGGTTGCGTTCTAGTCCGCGAAAAACGAGTCATCTCAACCGGTTACAACGGCACACCCAGAGGTCTTCTTAACTGCGGAGAAGGAGGCTGTTCTCGCTGTAACGAAGGACAAGGCTCTGGAGTAGGACTCGGCACATGTCTCTGTCTCCACGCAGAAGAAAACGCACTTCTCGAAGCTGGTCGAGAAAGAGTCCGCGAAAACGCCATTTTATATTGCGATACCTGTCCCTGTCTCACATGCAGTATCAAGATTGTACAAGTCGGAATTTCAGAAGTAGTTTACAGTCAAGGATACAGCATGGATGCGGAAACGGCAGCAGTATTTGGTCAGGCGGGAATCAAATTGAGGCAGTTTATTCCGGTATGTGAAAATTCCTAGCTAGCCTGCAGCATGAGCGAGTTCACCCACTAATCCCTTTCTTCACAGCCGGCAAATGGTTTAATCCATCTAGAAAAACAGTCATTATATTAGCATTTTAAAGCGATGATACCCAGTTTTTAAAGGCCAAACGAAGGGTGAGAAAAGCAAAAGAGCATTCACACACACGTACACATATTTTCAATGTTTACACACATACGTAGTATGTGAAAGATACCCCCCTCGAGATAATCTTCTTTCTCTTCCCTTTCTGCTCTCAATCTTCTGGTCTTCCCTATCTTACCCCGTACAGTATCGACCAAATAACCATAAGTCTTGGACGAATCGACTCCAATTCCCAACTTCCAGCTTCTAATTTCTAATTTTTAATCTCGAAGTATACTAGCAGCACCAACATCTCCATCTCCTTGCCCCTCTTCATTCTTTCCTCTATTCCCATCCAATACAAATGACATTACACAAAGCAAAATAATACATACATACATACATACATACATCCAAGAATATTATATACATCACACGATCAAGCAAGTAAGGGAGCAAACATATAATCAGGCACGCATCATTCAACAATTCAAACATAACCTTAACCCAGAAATACCACCAAGATTCCACGTCATTCATAACGTATCATTCATAGTCATATTCATATCAAATCATATTCATATCAAATCATATTCATATCAAATCATATTCATATCAAATCATATTCATATCAAATCATATTCATATTCTAGCACATCTCATCCTCGTCCTATGTATGTATCAAGTAGGTAGGTGGGTATTTGAATTCATTTCCATTCATCTCCATCTCCAAATCCGAACGCAAACGCAAACGCAAATCCAAAATCCAGAATGCAAATTCAAAATGCAAAAGAAATTCGTATCCATATTTTAAATTTCATATTTCATATTTCATGTCCAAATTCATGATATCGTAATGCTCATATACGCATATCTAAATTAAAAAAAAGCCAATGCAAAGAAATCCAACGCGTAAAATCCAACGCAAACCAAAAAATAAAGTAGAGGTATTATTTCCACGGCCGTGACATCATTACCCATCCCAAGCATCGCAAAGAGGAAATGAGCGAAAACCCAAAAAATCCAGAAAAGAAAGCACACCCGCTTTATCCAACCCCTAAATCTCTCGATCCCTATCCCTATCCCTCCCTCTACTCCTACTCGCTCTCCTACCATTCCTTCCCCTATTCCCCTCCCTTTCCTCATCCTCTACATCCGCCACAGAGCCACGACTCGAATTCCCCGCCAACCCACCCTCCTTAACAAAGCCCATCAAAAGATCACTCCACGTCTGTTTCCCTGCAACCACCTCTCCCACCCCCCTAACCACCCTCTCAACCATTTCATTCCCACCCCCAAACTCCTTCGCAATATCTTTTTCTCTTTCGCGACTCCCACTCCCATCCCTACTCCTACTCAACGGTCTCCCATCTCTATCAAACCTCGCTGGCAACACCTCCACATCATTATCCTCGCTCTTTTCACTATCACTCTCATCGCCATGTCTTCCTTTCCTATGTTTACGGTGCTTACGGGGTCTAGAAGGTCGATCAGAAGAAGGATCCGAGTTACGTCTTCGTCTTCTTCTATAACGACGATCCGACGATGGATTGGGCTGTTCATACGTATTGACCGTAGAAGTAGATCGATCCGCTTTAGAACTACGAATACGTTCCAAGCGACGAGAGGAAGTGGGAGATAGAGGAGCGAACATGACAGATTTGTTTGAGGGAGTAGCTTCGATTGGTGTTAAGGGTGAATCGGGTCTCGATGGTGTTGGAACATTTAGACGATCTATTAAAACATGTATTAGTATTTTGATGGAATCATGATAAATATGTTGTTGTACACATGGAAAGAAATTAATAAAAACAACGCACCCTCCCGGTCGTATACATGATCAGTTTGAGGTGGAGAGGTTTCATGAAAAGGGAAATAAGACTCCTCTCTTGTATGAGGAGGTACTGTCATAAAAGGTTCGGGAGTCGAAGATTGATGAGTACTCACATTGTCACCAGGAATTCTGGATGAAGGTGGGTATTGATGAGGATCATGAGTGGTAGGGCGTTGACTTGCATAGTCTTGAGGGTTGTAAGGAGGTATAGGAGGGATTTCATTGACAAAAGGTGTAGATTTATTTCCATGATGGGTGAAAGTTTCTGGGTTGGAAGTAGGAGGTGGTGGGAATGCATTTTTTTCAGGATAGTATGAACCTCCGGAAGCGTGAGGCGGCGAAGGCGAATATGTCTCATCACGGAAATTCGTGTAGTAACTCTCAGGTGCTTCGTCTTCATAGCCTGATTGAAAACGAATGTTAGTACAAAAGAAAGAGATACATGAGGCCGAGCCACTCAAACAAGTGATTTAATAGATATTGGAAGTACCTATGGACATGAAAATGAAATAACAAGATCATTCGGGGGCTTTGGGGATAAGATTTGAAAATCTTTTGGATAGAGACGATCTTATTTCCGACGGGGAAACCGAGCGGGAACTTGATCTAGAGTGCTGGGGGACCTCACGTCTGCGTTCGCGCTCACGCTCATGTTTTTCCGCATCCTTTTTCTCTTTTTTCTCCTTTTTCTCTTTTCTCTTTCTGTACTCATTGATTCCAATAGCGGCTGCACCCGTCCCCAACGCACCAGCAGCAAGATCTCGTACTCTGCTACGGCTTCTACTTCGTGATCGCGATCGTGGTCGTTCTCCATCTTCGCTAGATGAATCGCGTTTGTGTCGGCGCGATCGACTTCGACTACGTCTGGTAGCACCGTAAGCAGCTCCAGCTGCGGCCGCCGCGACAGCTGGATCGTACTCGTTAGGTCGATCGAATGGTGCTGGCTGCTGGTGCGTGTATACAGGTTCAGTACCGTACTGAACCATGCCTAATTCTGGGTCAACACCTGGATCAGAATATACGCCTGTAGATCTGGCTCTCGACCTGCTTCTAGTTCTGCTCCTAGTCCTGCTCCTTCTTCTCTCCCGTCTCTCGTATACTTCATCTTCCTCGGCCTCCTGCTTGGCCTTTCTATTCTCATACAAACCGGCCACTGCAGCACCCGCAAGACCTGAGCCAGCTATCTCCGCAGCTGTTCGAATTCGTGATTGTGATCGTTGACCACTACGCCTTCGGGATTTATTTCGGAAATGCTCGGCGACACCAGCGACTATAGCAGCTCCAGCTCCAGCTTTTGCGATGGATTTCTTACGATGCGCTGGATCGGCATGTATACTCTTGCTCCTGCTCCTACTTCCATCACGTATGATGGTAGTACGCTTTTCATACTCATCGGACCAATATTCATCGCCATCAGAATAGCGGCGACCACGAGACATACTTCTTTGTCGACTTCGACCACGAACTAACTCTTCCTTGTTTGCAGTTCTGTTCTGGGCATATTTGACAGCAGCTCCAGCGGCAATTGCAGCAGCAGCCAAACCAAGGGCTGTCTTCAACTTATGATGACCATGTGGGCTGCTTGATCTTGACCTACTTCTGCCCTCACGACTGTCACGATAACGACTGCGTGCTCTTGTAACTACTTCAGCACCAATCGCACCCAATGCAGCTCCCCCAATAACGTTTCTGCCACGATGAGCAACTTCAGATCCTTGCTTTTCCTTATGGCTTGCCAAAAGAGCAGCTGCACCAGCCCCAGCTAAGGCACCTTCTGCCAAATGTCTTCGGTGATGAGGGCTGTGACTACGACTGCGCGTTTCTCTCTTGACAACCTTCTTTCGTATGACATAACCTTCACTATCATATCCATCATCGTAACGACGATCATAATCCTCGTCACGATCTCTTCTCCCGCCAACCTCGCGAACATCCCTGCGATAGTAGTACTCATCTTCTTCTCTTCGTGGATCAGGTCGTGGAACGATTTCTTGTTGTATCTCTGTCTTTCTTTCAATAACTTCAACCCGTTGTGATTCTGGTGCAATTTGGGGTATGATAATTGGAGCCGGACTTGGCGCTTCTTGAACAATAATTCGTTGGGGTTCTGGAGCTTTTTGTCGAATGATAATTGGTGGTGGGGTAGGTTCCGGTCGATCATAGTATTCGGTTTCTCGGGAGTATCTTTCGAGCTCATAGGGTTCATTATGACGTCGAGCTATTGTTTTCTCAACTGTGACATCAGTTTCGTGATCCGTCTCCCATGGTCTATCATTTCGACGCCGTTCCCAAGGTAAGGGACTCCCGCTTCGTTCCCGTTCCCGCTCCCGCTCATAGACTACTGTTCTAGTGCGATCTCGTTCTCGTTCGGGTTCTCTAGCTCGCTCAACTGTACTTCTTTGATATTCAACCGCTCGATCATAGTCGACAGCTGAACGGGGTCTTTCAGGTTCGTATCGCTCACGATCCACTTCTACTCTTCGATCAACCTCGATTCGTTCGGTACGTCTTGGCTCGGGCTCGTATCTTTCGCGCTCAACCTCAACTCTTCGGTCTACTTCGATGCGTTCCGTTCGTCGTACTTCTGGCTCATATCGTTCCCGTTCGCGATCAATTTCGACTCGACGATCCACCTCAACTCGATCACCCTGTCGAGTTTCGTACTCTCGATGGGTAGAACGAACGGATCGAGTGTCGTCTACTTCCTCGACTCGATTCGGTGCGACCCGATAACGTTGGACGGTACGATAAGTACTACCATTTGGTTTCGAGCGACCGTACGTTGACCGTTCTTCATCGGAGGAATAATAGTCGACCTCTCGGTCATGATAAGAGCTGCGAACAACTCGCTCAGGCATTTTGAATTGTTTACCCTGTAGTTATTGCCAAAAGAAAGTGAGGGTAAATCGTATATGTGTCCGAAGACCACACAGTATATGTTTGTAAGTAGATGTGTTGGTTGTAAATGATTTTAATAAAAAGAAGAAAAGGAGGACTAGAAGATGCAAGTTGTTGTTATTTGTTGGTTTGGTTTGGGGGGGGGGGGTTGGAAGTTGGAGGATTACTTTGGATCGAGGCTTCGCTGCTGATACTTTGCGCGCTCACTCTTCCTATTGCCCCTCCTGACACGAGCGTGTGTATGTAGGTCGGTCGGTCGGTAGGTAGTGAATAAATTTGATGATTAGGATTTGATATGGTTGGTCCCACGGGCTTATGCGCCAATAATTAGCTTATGTCGACATCTCTTGATATAAGCCCAGTGATTGATTTATATAGTTTGAGGAGCGAATGAATGATAGATGTTTTGATGATGTTGGTGAGAAGCTTATTAGTTATATGTAATGTGTAACTTATAACTTATCACAAATGAGGGGTGATTCTTTAAATTTCCACAGAGATACTTCGAGTAATTGTGGGGGGGGGGTAAACAATTTGACAGTGGGTACTTCGGATGAAAGTGGGAGTGGACTGGAAATTTGCGTCAGTGTACATATATAGTTAATATATAATATGAATTGGGCGAAGTCAAGCTTTTTTGGCTGGTTGAATGCACAAATGCACAAATCCACACACTCAACTTTTACTCAACGCAAGAATCAAAGCAAGCAACATACTGTAACCTTACAGAGTAATTACAACATGGAATCACAGAGGTATCTCGGGCGTCTACGCTCAACATCTCTTTGGGTACCTATCTTAACCACGGGGAACCTTGGAGTATTTGATCTGGTGAAGCAGAAGAACCCTCGTAGCGCTAGGATTAAGTTTTGGATAATCCAAGGAAGCGTGACAACCAACCTAGGTACAGTATGGGAGGGAAAGGAAGTAATCAAAAGTTTGGGGTTCGGTCCCATTTTGGGCCTCGTGATAATTACTTATTAATGTCTTATAGAGCGTTTCTGACACTGGACTGATATTACAGTTTATATAATTGTTGAGATGTTGGACGAAGACGGAGATGTAGGTAGGTAGATGGTGAGATCTCGTATTTCTTTTGATAAGTTAGTTAACTATAACAAGCATATTACTCAATGATTACCTAGGTAGGTAATTATTAATATGAAGAAGGCACTTGGTCATTACCTTGAATTTAAATTTATATTTATATTTATATTTACATTCATATCATATTATTATTATTATTATTATTATTATTATTATTATTATTATTATTATTATTATTATTATTATTATTATCTTTAATCTCTTTTTTTCTCCCAACCTCTCGAATGGTCGTTCAATTCATTCTTCACATTTTCGTACATATTATAAGAGGGAGGCATTATCATCTGGGTAGGTACCTTCTATCTATTCGTCCTGGCCTGAGAGCTGGAGGGGCGTATCCTTGTAAAAAATGACCAACTTATGCAGCGTGGACGTCGAGAAGGAATGAATGACGATGACGCCTTCGTATCTTGGGAACATTCTACATTCTACATTCTACATTCACAAATAAGGTTCACAATAAAGCAATGAAACAATTCCATCCAAACTTCTCATATTGGTGTGTAACTAGTTATTGTAGTTCCCGCGGCTTGTGCTCGGATGTACATGCTAATGATACAAGCTAGATACTTATTAGCACATCATCTACCACCTAGGCAGACCTCAGCCTTCAACAGAGCCGCAGGTGAAGTTACATAAGATCTAGGTAGACCTTGGGATAGGTCAAATACTAAACTCACATTACTGCGCCACGAGATAACGGGTAGGTATTCGCATTCATTTACCACCAAACGCCCCGTTAGATACAGCCAGACACCTACCTAGTCATACCTTAACCGCCACGTTAGCGGTCAAAATGATCATGGGCGTTAATGGCTTTTCTTCACATCATTACCATCGTTCTAGATGAACTACATTCACAGGTCAAGTCTCACAAACCGGACCATGATTAAAGACCGAGTAGAAACCACAGATCACAGAGTCCAGCCTGCACGCAATCCATGCAAGTAGGGCAATTAGGCTTTTCGATCTACAGCGCCCAACTCTTTGACTTTATTCAAGGAGTCGATCAATGTAAGAATATAAGGCTGGTTTAACCTCGAGATCATCTCGGATCTTTGGGTTTCAAAGCTGGCTGTGTTTGCTGTGGTGGACCGGTGGTGTGGTGAGGGTATGTGATTGGTTGGGTAGGGTAATGCTTACGAGAGGAAATTCAAACGGTATCCACACATCCTTTACTTCGCCTCGTGGAATATATCATAGATGTTATATATCATAGGTGTTTGATGTTTGGTTACACGCGATACGGTCAGGTTGAGATAACGGAGAGCTTGTCGATATACATCGTATTCGTTACTTGATAATCATCAAGGAGTGCAAAGCATTTGGTGCAAATCTCCTTCGACGTAACTGGATTCATTCAGAATTCTTTCTCTACCATCGAGTATCGGTAACACTTTTTGCACAGTTGCTCCTCGTGCGGCAGAGTCGTTTAGTCTGGCTTCTGCTATTTCTCGAGCACGCGCCGATGGCTGATTTATCTCATATCACTGCATATGAGGTATAGTCTGGCATTACCATCTATGTCAAACGCATAACTCTAAAGTGAAAATACATAGCATGCGAGTGCATTCCAATTCCACAAGATGCACCTGTTTTGAAGTTATATGCAGGATAGGACATGGTGATCATCATGGCAAATGACCAGCATTGAACTATATCTTGTGGAAGTCAATAAAATATTCTACACCAATTTTCGATAGCGCTGTTCAATGATCACAATCATTTGATGTCTTTGGATGTGATCACCCACTGCTTAAGTACATGCTGTAGCCTGAAACGATGTCATTGGATCGAGTTTCGGTCTGTGTAGGCAGGATGGAATGATTTGATATCGTAAGATACAGTCAGTAGAGGAAGATTAATAGTTCGATGTTCTCTGTACAAGATTGTGAGCACAAAGAGTACTCTAGATGTGTATTCTCTCGCATGCGAAATTGCAATACCATACAAGCCTATCACGAAACCAGTGCTCTCTGTGAACGTTCCAGTGAACAACAAATGTCATCCAATTTTCCACATGGGATAACTCCAATCTCAATTTCATAACCATACATTCAATATCACGGCACAAAAATCAATTTCAAATCAAAATTCGAAGCATTGAGACGAATACCAGAGCAGTCAGAAAATCTTGATATTCAATTTGCTATGATATCGTCTATATCCTTCCATTTGTTTCTTGATGCCAATTTGTCTTTACGCAGCGGATTCTTCGGAACTGCTGCCACAGCACCACCTACGAAGTCTCTCCCAAATTCCTATGTGTCTTATCGCTGGTATTGGTGCTAGTTCCGCTGATTCTTCCGCTGCTGGTTGCACTGCTGGTTGCACTGCTGGTCGCGCTGCTGGTCGCGCTGCTGATTGCGCTGCTGGTTGCGCTGCTGGTTGCGCTGCTAATGTTGATGGCGATGTTGCTGTTGCTGTTGGTGGTGGTGTTGGTTCTGCTGTTGGTGTTTGTGGTGGTGTTGGTTCCGATGCTAGTGGTGGTGCTCTGGTTATGTTACTATTCCACGATGATGGCGGTGCTGAGGGGGGATTTTGAGACGCTAGGGGTGCTATGGCGTCATCTTGGACTGGAGGTACATGAGCCGAGAATTGTGGGTTTAACGGCGAAAGTGGTATACTTCTAGGCTCGTTGCACCCTCCTGATGACATATTTGGATCGGCAGGATGCGGTGCTTGCGAAGTGTTGGCAGATGCAGGCTGAGTTTCCGCTGTTCCTCCTTGTGTCATATTGCTGCTGGCGGGTACATATTGAATTGCTAGAAGTTCCGGTGACATACGACCCTGATCACTTATATCCAGATCATCACTGCCGATAATTTCTTTTAGTCGTGTACTAGCAAATGTGAAAAGACTCGAAACTCACTCTTCTGCGCAATCTCCACAAAACACATTTCTATCCGGCGTTATCATGGGTATCGCCTCTCTACAATAAGCATCCCCAATCAAATGTCTTTGACATCGGTATCTGTGGCGGTAGTCATCGTGCCCGCATTTTAAGCATCTGAACCTGTCTATCTCGCAATAGAGGCCAGTGGTTACATTATTTGGAGTATTCATGTTGATTGTTTTTGGAATATTTTGCAATTTTGAATATGGTGTTGTGAATGCATGTCATTTATAGACTTCAGTTGGTCTCTTGATATCTTTCATTTCGTTTGTGGTGGGGATATGTTGAAAGGTTGATTGTACTCTTGTTACATGGCATAAAGAGTTCATGATTTTTCTGCGAGTTAGTCCATTACTCTTTAGACTCAGAAAGTGCATGTTAATCAAACACTTAGTGGCCCATGATGCTATTTTCATTTTGAGGTCTACAGAGGAAGGAGACAATGGACTGTAATCATGGGTTATATTCTTTTGCTTCAAATTTCCTAGGTATATTGTTCTATGGGTTTCCTCCTTCTACAATACGAAAGTTCACTGCAAATCTAGAATGCTCTTGATGAATCGAAGAGAACTCGAGATTGGGGTAGGACTTCATTTTTTGCTATTTGCGATAATATTCAATTCTTAGCGACTTGTTAGCCGTTGCTAAAATGTTGTCGTTTTCAGACATGATATCTTCAAGTGTTAAATCTGAATGTTTTCCGCAATTTCGGAGATTGGGGAATTATGATGAAGATGGGTGAATAGCCTGTTCCATCGAGTAAATTTTATCAGAAGACTATATTTTGGGCAGATCACATCAGATGTTGGCACCGTGGGGTGCTTAGATTGCTATCGACTATCAACTGGCTTACATATTCTTCCGAATTATTTCCAAAACAAAATGCTGTTTGAAGTCAAGAGACTTGAGAGCATCGTTTTTACCAATCAAAATTGTATCGTTATCTTTGCAGGCAAGTTATGACTTAGTGGCTCTTTATTTTCATCTCCACGAAACCATTCAAGACGGTAATCAACCATTTATAATTTCTATCATAAAGCCCAAAACTTTCTATTCCGAAATTAACTAGAGAAGATGCAAATGCATCTAGTCCGACCTTTATACTCCTAGGAACCCGTCCTTAAAGAGCTTTTTAGTATCCAACTATGTATGACACTTCTCTGAATACCCAGAAGTATACATCCTAAAAGCATACTAGAGCCACCAAAGTTGTAAAAAAATCTGGTTCAACCACACACAGATATTATCCCACCGATATATGAGGACACATGGAGCTGTATCTGGTCTGTGTGTACATTATTAAAAAAACGTTCTGCTAAGAAACGATCGAAGAGTTGGGCTGGTAGAAGATCTTTTATTGTCTCTTCTTGTTGACTGAAACCCTGTACCCATGACCAGGGATACTTACAAGACAGCCAACGACAATAAATAAGAAGATCGAAAGTCGATCAGTCTGGAGCGTATTAGCAAAGTCAATAATCGCAGCCTAATCAGATAACATACTTTCTTCTTCCTCTTCCTCTCCGTCTTCCTGTTCATCTTCCTGTTCCTCCGCAGGATCTTCTCTTCCAACAGCAGCAGCAGCCGCTCTCGCCTCTCTTCTCCGCTCCTGCTCAATTCGTATATCACGAATAGTCTGCGCGGCACCATTAAGATCGGCAACCACGCCAGCTATATCACAATCGCATTAGCAAGTCTCGAAACATAGTTAGGAGATAAGAGGGATTTACTCAGGGTGTGGATGATAGTATCTACATATTCGTTTAGATCCTCAGCGGGCGGTGCTGCTGTGGCTGAGGACTCTGCCGGTTTCTTAGACTTGGAAACTCGGGATTTTACTTTGGAGGATTTGGACTTGGGCTTCACGATATAAGGTTTGGGAGTGGACCCCGACGCTTTGGCGTTAGATTCCCGCTTCTTCAGAGTGTATCTGCTCTTAGAGCCAGGAAATCCCGCAGCGGAAGAGGTACCCGATGCTTGCATACCATCGCCACCAACAGGGATGGCATGGGAAGCTCCGACTCCGGCTCCCAAAGATGAACCACCGGGTATTCCTTGTTGTGCGCCGATCGAGGTTTCTCCTGGCTGGTAGAGATCCGCGATGGGAAGGGCGGTATAGGGTGGGAGGTTTCTCCTGGTGAAGAGACTTTCCGGGGTGGAGACAGGAGGGTGGAGTTGTGCTGTGTGGGCGTGGAAGGGGGGGTGGATTGGTGGGGGGATAGGATGGGTGTGTGGGTTTTGGTGAGGGTGAGGGTTGAGGGGTCGTGGGGGGGCTGGGATGGTGGTGGTGGTTGTTGTTGTGGTTGTTGTTGGGGGATTTTGGCGGGTTGCTGGTGGAGGGGAGAGAGGGAGGGGGATGCTGGGGGGTGTTAGTGTGCGTAGGGGAGAGAAAAAGGAGAGGAGGGGAGGTAGGGGTAGGACGAGAGGAAGAGAGGAAGAAAGATTCAACATACCCAGTTGTCTCTCTTTGAGATTCCCTTGAATTCCCGTCTGTGGAACATGTCAGTCGAGCGAAGATCTTGATACAGTAGGTGAGTTTCACAGGGGTAATAGGAGATATACATACCGCTACTGCGCTCCGCCGAACCATTACCTTGACGAACCATTTTTCAGGCGTGTGGGTAGTTGAGTCCTTGTTATGTATTGAGAAATGATACAAAGGTGTTGGAAGTACAATGGACTTTATCAAACTTGAAATTAAAGTACAAACAAAGTGTACAAGTATGATACAGAGAGTTCAAAACTGGAACAAGTGTTTCGAAATGGATTGCAGAAAGAATGTATCTGAAGAAAGGTGGACACTTTCACTGAGAGAGAAAGAGAAATAGAAGTAGGTATTACAGAGGTATATATAAACGTTTGTAAACATCTCTTCCCCACTTCTCATTCCCTTTCTAATAAAGTAGCTAAGATTGGTACATGAGGGGTTTGTGTACAAGACATGATGTGATAAGATAATCCGAGCCGAATCCAAAATTAGCTTGTTTTGGTTGGTATTAGTCTATTAGATTGACCTCGGGGTTATCGGGGTATATTGAGAATTTTGTGGTGAAGTAGAGAGGGGATCTCGCGATGTAGAGTTACTTGTTGGATGTAAGGTAGGTAGTTGGGGAGATATTTAGTATATGGTGACTTTCTGGTGAGGATGTTGATAGGATGAATGAATGAATGAATGAATGAATGAATGAGGAATATATAGTTATTGATGAACAGTTCTTCACTTGAAGAAAGAGAGATATTGGTGTGAATTATACAGTTCTTCTGCATTTTGTGTTTGTTGATGAGTTGAATTGTGTTACTCACACAACAAGGTAATTTTAACAAAGATTGTCTACTCTGTGATTCTGTTTACTGTTTGTTACTTGCGACTTGCTACCTACTCTTCATCCAAAAACCATCATCAATACATTCATCAATACACTCAACACAACAGACAACATCACACACCTAGGCAAACATTCATCACAAACTTTCCATCTACCAACTAATTCACTTCTCGGGCTTCGGGGTGATGAAACCCTTTTAAAGGTATCATGATCTGATATCCAATTTCTCATTTCCAATCTGTAACATTCACTATGGGAAATAGACGCATGAAAGAGATTTGAATGAAATCTGGAAGAAAGTGGCTGAGTGGAGTTAATGAATATTTTGTATCTCTCTTGAGTTGCTCCTAGTAGGTCGTCTTTTCATTTCTTGTTTTTCTGGTTCTGTTCTCTTTCTCTTTCTGTTCTCTTTCTGTTTCTTTTCTCTTTCTCCTTGTCCATCTTCTCAGACAGTCCAACTCCCCCTCACATACAAACCCGTCCAATACAATACAAACAAAACCAAACACAAACACAAATCAACCAACCATCAGTCACTCATTCAAAATGTTTGTTCCCGTCTTTACAATCAAGTTCCTTGCAATTCTGTCCTTTCTCTTTGCCATCGTTTCTGGAAACCCTATCAAGCGTAGTGAGGAAGAAGCTACAGGAGTGAGAATTTCAGGTCTTTTTGGTCTTTTTACTACGCTTGCTACTTCTGCTTTGACGACTGGTGAGCAGGTAGGTTCTAGACTTCTTTCCTACCATATTTGATCTTACCACTTCCCCTTTCACATCACCCTACCACTAATATACCCGTGACCACCACTCACATACCTGTTTCAAGAACACCATCACTAACCCCAACCCCAACTCAACAGGTTGGCATCGTCATCCTCTCCAGCCAAACCATCTTCATCCAAGAACCCAACTTCTTCCCCGCCACAGAATGGGGCGTTCCGGAACCCACACGCTCCAGCACCAGCTCTAGCACCAGCACTCTCGCTGCGGGAGCCGTTGCTGTGACGAGTACATTTGGGAATACACCATATAGTTTTCCTACCCCTGGGTTCCCTGCTGCAAGCACGCAGGTTGATGCTTCTGCATCTGAAGATTCGTCTACTGATGCTCAGGCTTCTACTTCCGCATCTGATGCTTCTGTTACCGACACTCCGGCTCCAGCTTCTGCATCTGCATCCGAAGATTCAATCCCACCACTAATCCTAACCCCCTTAATCGGCGACAAACAACAAATCGCCGCCACAACAACATCATGCAACCCCGCCATCGCAGGCGTCACAATCCCCGCTAGCGCTCTCACAACCGGCGAATTTGTCGCGGTCGAAGTTCTCTGCGAGGAAACAATTTATATCCAAGAGCCCAATTTCTACCCCACAAAGACCTTTTACGGTATCCCTGCATCTTGGACACTAAATACCACGGACATCACGTCCACATCTACATCTACGATGTGCAATACCGCTGTTGCAGGTACTACGATCCCCGTCAGTGCTCTCACGACTGGCGAATTGGTCGCGGTGGAAACTCTTTGTGGTGAGACAGTTTATATTCAGGAACCTAATTTTTATCCTACCAAGACGTATTATGGTGTTTCTGCTTCTACTTCTACAATGAGTGCATCTTCAACAAGCACAATTGTAGATGTTGAACCGCAGGTGATGGAGAAGCGTGCTGGAGATAGTGTACCATTCTTTGCGAATAACATGCCGACTTCCCTGCGTCATGTGAATGCGAATCGGATCCAGAGTATTGAGTGTGGTGCAGCTGGGGCTTCTGAGTAGAAAGTTTGTACTAAGATGAATGAAGGATATTCGCAGCGCGTGAGTATTGAGAAATCAGTCCATGTAGACTGTGGAAAGCTTCAGTATAATGAGAAAAAGTGAGCGCAAGAGTTTCAAATATCATGACTTTGTTATGGGAGGAATGATATGCTTTTCAATACTTGTTGTTTGAGCAAATTGCTAGAAAAGCTTCAGATACAATAGTAGTATAGATGACACTTGCCATGATGGCTTTCAGATGATAAATAAAATAGTTTCCCCACGCAGGCAAGCAAGCCAGATGATCAAAAATGTGAAGATGTCAGATGATGGAGCTATATTTCTATAACTACCTCTCGTAGCAGAAGACTGCTTTTTGGTGAACCTTGACCAGAGAATCTAAGTTGACTAATGTGATCGGAACAAGATCAATCAGGGTCATAAAAAATCGGTTGTCTCCTGCGGAAAGACAGCAGTTTGGGATTTCTATGGAAGTGCTTTTTCACAGCATTTGTCATACCGATTTTCCTGGTAAAAGCCATGCATGAGACTGCCCTTCCTCCATATCCCGTAATATCAAGAATTTCTGTTGTCATCCTGCTTCCATCTCTCTTTGCACGATTTCAGTAATCAAGTTAACCAGCACTCCATTTTCAGAAACTTGGGTCCATCGAAATCATTAGTTTCTGACCATACTTTACAACTTATTGTATCCATGAATTATCTCAAGGTATCCATCTCTAATGAATCCATCAACCCCCAAACTCCAAGCAAAGCAATTTTTCCTACTTCCAAGACTCCGACCATGCCAAACCTCGTCTCCAATCCCCTACAACAAATCGAAATCATCCAATTTCTCTCTATATTTCAAGATATTTCTCTTAATCTTCGAACCGTCCACCCAAGTAACGAAATCTTCCATGCTTCTCGTCACTAAAAATGCCGTGTCTGTGATAGTTTCCGTACCCACTCTAACATGCCCTTGCTCAATAATCTTGTTCGCAGCCTGTACCGTCTCTGCCATTCTCAATCTCGTCATTACAACTGGTAAACGTCTTCGACAGAATGCGGAAACGGTAACGTGAGATTCAACGGAGGAGAGTTTGGAAGTGGAAGCGGTGGAGGGAAGAATTCCCATATCGTGAAGTTTAGAGAGGAGGAGTTGCTCATGCTTTAGACGGACTTGGGAGTCGGGAGGTAAGAGTGTGAGTTTGTGGGCGAGCTGACGGAGAGACTATTTATGTATGTATTAGTATCTGATGGTGCTTAACATCAGGAAATATAAACTAACACCGCAGAGTCTGTTGTATTTTTGGTAATCCCCAGGTTTCTGGATCGCATATCTTCGTATCACAGCCGCATCTCGATGATTGTTATCTGATGCGTAGGTTGTGAAGTCGACTTTTCGAAGGAGCTTCTGCTCATGATGCTTAAGTTTACGGACCATTTTGTATAATTGGGTTCAATTGGAAGATTTGAAAGATGTTGTGTCTGGCGCAAGTGCCTATCATTATTCCATTGTAGATATCAAAATAAATTTTTGCGGGTCATCGGAATAACCAGCTCCGATGCGGGGTTTCGGCCCGCTTTGGACTTCAAGATTTTGGTATTGCGCAACACCAAGTGGTCTTGATATTGAATCGCTCAATTATAGCAAACATGCCTCCTCGACTACAATGTTTAAACGCCGTGCGCAATGCGGTATTATCGCCGTTCCTCGGAATGCGGTTTTCAACCAGTAGAATTATGGCCGCAGGTATGTCAATTATGATCCAACCATCTTTCCACTTTAAAGTCAACTGCTAATACTCCTCGCAGAACTTCCTCCAACATCCGACACATCATCCTCGGAAATGAGAGGTTATGATAGTCTCATATCCCTTGTGAGCAAAGCTCAAGAGAAAGGCCTCGAGCGACGCATGGCATTATTAGCCAATACTAGGGTGCAGCAGAGTGTGGCCCAGGAATACGAAGACAATGTTTCGAGATCAGCTCTGACAAAACAAATACATAGAAGGTGGAGAGCTGGAGATGTTTATGCGCCACATGATTTGAGTGGGATAGAGATGGCGAAATGGAAGAAGAGAGGAAAAGTTACGAGGGATGTTTTTGATGTGGTAGCTTTTGATCCTATAGCTACGGGGAGTTACAAGGTTAGTTTTTTTTCCGGGGATTGAGAGTATAGCAAGCGCAGGCGCTGTTGAGGGAAGTACGAGCAGGACTAATGAATGTTTTAGAATTTCTCCATCATGTCAGAATATGTAACCCCGATGGGAAGGATTAGAAGCAGTAAGGAAACTGGATTGAGACCGGTCAATCAGAGAAAGATTGCAAAGGCAATTAGGAGGTCTATTGGTTTGGGTTTGATGCCGAGTGTGCATAGACATCCAGAGGTCCTTTACAAGGCGAAGGAGAGGGATGAAATGAACGATAATTACAGGCGAGGTAGATTGGTGTAAGGTATTTGAAGGCTGGTAGAAATAAAGGAATGTATGATATATGTCGAAATGGTCGCAAATATGCGCCCAGTGGATTGAAGTTGACCGCAATGATATCGAACTCAAGCATGTATCAATTTTGGGCGCGGGATACGCCACATCAACTAAGTACTACTGGAAATGAAGGGAGGAGGCCCACTTCCGTGAATTTACTATCATGCCATCATCTGTTTGACGCTACCGCTGGCGAAGTTGCCCCTGTCACGCTGAATTCCTCATGTCGAAGAGTATGTGTTGGCGAAGAGGCTGATTCCTTCATACTATATGAGCACCGTGAAATGTGTTTTGATGGATACACATACAAATTCAATAAAGATCTAACAAAAATCTATCAATATTCGGTTCTGCAAGTGTATGAATTCAAACATAGCAGATTACATTTATGCCTTGATGATTAGGCCATAAGCCTGAATAGGTAGATAGTTACACAGGCAGGTATCGAAGTCGTGAGCTGTACAAACAAAACATCGCCATTATTCCAACACACTAGTTATCGATACTACGGCTTTTCAATTAACTCTTCCATCATAAATAAGTTTTAAGTTTCTTATAATTTATTCAGACGCTTTGAAGTTCATTGTAAACAAATTCATGCATCAACCTTCAATCAGCTTAACCCAAAATGCGTCTCTTCCGTCCATTTTCTTTACTAAAATGGGGCCGACAGCCTATCCAAAGACCTTTCATGGCTCTTGCCCCCCAAAACTCCCCATACTCATCGGACTTATTCTACTGCCAAGGACTCCAATGTATCAAATTCTGATCTCTCCAATGATCTAATTCCCAAAGACGACATCCATTATGAAGAGTCAATCAAGCTGATTGGTCGAATCAAGGAGGAGCTCGAGGAGAAACGTCTCTTAACGGAACAAGTAAATATGCTTGAATTGATCAGACTGAGATCAATGTATTTCAGAATGGTGAAGGAGAAGGGAACTGCGCGTAGGAAAACACAATCGCAACTAGATGCCATGGAGATGGAACGTAGACAGTCCTTCAAAGTTTTCTTACCAGACTCAATTCGTCAAGCCTATAAACACCCGCAGTTGGAAATCATCTTCGACGCTACGTTTGGAATCTCGAAGGACGATGCCATAGCTTTGTGGATCATGGACAGAAATTGTGAGGAGGAATTCAAAGTACAGCATACTTTGGAAGTACATGGGATGGTTTTTAGTCGTCTCATGCCGGATACATTTCCGCCAGTATTCAAAGAATGGTTGAAAACAATTCAAGAGGTCAAAGCCCAGATCGACAATGCAGAGGCGGTCCATCGAGACAGCGCTGCCGTTGAGGAGGACGATAAATTAACGGCATTAGAGTTGATTTTCAAAGTTGATGCTAGATTGTATGAGAAAGCCAAGGACTTGGCTAAGGCTTGCGATCTCGCTTACTGTGATGATTCCAAGACTTTTGGGAAATCTATTTATCCACTTTGGGAATACAAGGATAGGATGATTGCAGAATGGGAAGAAAGAAATTTGATGCCGGAGTTGATGGCGGCTGCTGAGGATAATGGAAAGATCTACTGGAAGTATCTTTGAGGTTTCTAGTTGTAGTGAGTGGTGTAGGAATTTTGGGGAAGTGGGGAAGAAGGTGGGAGCTCGCTTTGCAAAAGTCTTTTATCACAATACATTCCCCCCTCTTTAAATAGCAAATTTTGCTGCTCCATTACATAAATAGTAATAGTGATAGTGATACTTACAGACCATCCATATTTCTATCACATAATTTTTTATTTTTTATTGGATGTTGCAAAACATGAGATTGTCCTTTAAAAACCGACAGTCGAGAAAGCGGTTGTTCAATCCCTTAACGAAAAATCGAAAATCTTGACAAACTTCGTAAAATCTCAACAACAGGAGGAGCTTGCGCAAAATAAATTGTAGTATCAGCACCAGAGTTACAAAGGCTTCCCTTACAGTCTCGCAGAGAAATGTAAATAGACCTTTTCTACAGAAAGTCCTGTTACCTTCTATGGTTAAGAAAAAAGCGAAAACCGGAAATGAAGCTATTGATTCTAAGATATCTCGACATCTGAATAAGCAAGAACAAAAATGATGAATGCGTTGAAATCGAACTTCTGGGAGCCTTTCTACGCCCTTTGCCGGAAAATAGTGACACCTGTTGATCTATAAACAATCACATTGATGTATCTCATGCTGTCAAAAGATGCATGTGGTTATATGCAACCTCTGTTACGGTAATTCATCAAGACAATAAAATAATTTGAAATTTTGAATCATCGGTCACGACTCACGAAAACTTGTTCTTTTGCTTGAGTAATTCGGAGCGAACCATTCACACTAAGGGCAGAGATTTGGCGCTGGTGCAGTGTACGCCGTGCACAGGCAATGTGAAATTAAATGAAAGGGACATACGAGGTCTCGACCTTCTCAATATCAATTCATGATTATAACGATGGGGTAACGTTCACCTGTGAAAATGTAAAATATCAACAAATATCATGCGGACCCCGCAGGTTCAATCTCGGCCACCAACATCGTTTTGTTCGTCTTTAATACTATTCCATCCCTTGGCAAGCCCAAATTGAAGGTTTCAAATCCATTCCTATTTCCAGAACACAAGGCGCATATTACCAAACTTCAATGGTAGTCAAAAACTGAGAAATCTTTGACATGAGACTTCATATAGTAATGTGTAAAGATTAAACGGTATAAAAAAGTATGGTGGACAAGCTGTCATATTCAGATGGAAGGAGATGGATGTACTTACGCTCGGCTTTTGAACAACTATTTTCAAACGCGAATATCGCCGTGGTTATGTGACCATTGAAATTGCTGTAGTGTTGTGAATATCTACTTTGCTGTGGTGTTGTAAATTGTCGATTTGCTGTGGTCAAATGACTAGTGGTGTTGCCGTGGCTATTGTAGCCTCTCATTTGAGTTGATTGCTGCAATCTTTTGTTGCTGGTGACCATGTGGCCACAGGAATCATGATGGGTGTTTAATAATTATATTTTTTGTGAATGACTGTCTGCGTTCTGTAGAATTGTTAGCTTAGCTTAGATCTTGAGTTTCGGTTTGACTATAACGGTGAATTAGACAGCTAGACCACCAGATGTGTTTGTTTTGATAATCTCTATATACTGAAAATATAAACTAGCGATAGTGAAGCGCAGTTTAAGTGATTGTCACTAGGCTCAGTTTCGTGACGTGGTTCACAAGCAGAACAGAAGATCAAACTAAGTCCAAAAATTAGATTTTTCAAGGAGTAACCGTAAAGTCTTTGCTCTATTTCTGATAGAGATACAGAATTTTCATGAATATCCAACTTTGTTTTAGATATGTCACCTAGGATTGCATGATGGAGATTCGATTCGGTTCACGAAAACAGAATTCATAGCATCCTTGATTCGCTATTGGTCGAAACAAATTCCACGCAGACAGACCTAGCCATGATTGGGCTTCAATAGTTGAGATGATAACTACACAGCAATTGATGGTGTAGGGGCTGGGAAAGTCGAACGCTTCGTTCCATGATGCAAAAAGTATAGCCAAGGCGGCTCGTTAGTGCTGCGCAAGCTCTTACTGCTGAGAACATAAGCAAGGTAGGAAACTACGCAGCAGCATGATGTCTCATACTGTTGAGATCACGAGTTTTATTGTATGTCGAAGCGAGTGTCATACTCGGGACAACAATTCTAGAATCCCATACCATATAAATGGAGGGGCTTAGATAGGCGAAGATAATCGCTGCTTTCGATGCCTTTGCCAATATTCAACCAAAGTCTCAACCTAAAGTTTTGTCTTTTCAAGGGTTTTACTCAAGCTTTATGAAAACGGTATGACATGAAACATGTGCATTGAGGTGGTGCTTGTCTGTAGGTTGAGATCCAGAATGTGAAGTGTAATAGTTCCACTGAAAACCTTTCTACACTTGTAGAAAACGAAACTAAAGATGATGTAAAAAATAGGCTAATCCTTTAACTGTTTTCTAAACAGGAGCCTGCATTAATGTCCTAGTTTCTACTCTTAACTTGAATTTGCAAGAAGTCAGGGGGGTCTAGTAGGATAAAACTAGCTTACAAGAACCAAACCTTTATGAAAAGCTAGAACACCAACTGTAAAGTACCAGGCGTCAGCCTTCTGTGCTTTGAAGCTATAAACAGTATAATTTTGAGATAACTATATGTGACAATGTCTTTAACTGTGGTTCCCAATGATCCAAGGAAATTCCCCAAGACCAAGATATTAGACTGCGTAGATCTTCAAGCTTTGAGAATATTCCCGAAGGAGAAGAGAGTCTATACTATGTCTTCTCTTACTAGACTCTTACTCAAAAAGAACCAGAAAAGGGTTGCTACGGTTGCTTTTCAAACAGAAGGAAGAGGGAATGGTAGTATCAAGTGAGGTCTGAATCTACTGAAGTTGTGAGCCATATGGACCGTGCGCATGTGGATCCATATTGATTACATAAACACTTCAAAATGGCTGCTATTCAATCGCTAGGCTGTCGGGGATTATTTACTCTCAGCCTTGCATCTTTTCTCGAGATTTCATTATTTCAATGCTTTGAACCTGGATTTTCAAATACAATAACGCTTGAAATTATGTCTGGTCGACGCGATTTTCTCAGTCAAAAGGCGCCAGAAAATTATGTTGCTGGTTTAGGTCGAGGAGCGACAGGATTTACAACACGATCTGACTTAGGTCCTGCGCGAGAGGGACCAAGTGAAGATCAAATTAAAGAGGCTCTGGCAAAGCGTGCTGCTCAACTCGGTCAAGCAGCTCCTACAGCATACGGAGCTACAGAAAAGAAAGATGATGATGAGGACGATGAGCGCTTTCAGGATCCGGACAATGAAGTTGGGTTATTTTCAGGTGGCGTTTACGACAAGGACGATGATGAAGCAGATAGAATTTACCAGGAGGTAGATGAGAAGATGGATAGAAGGCGGAAAATAAGAAGGTTTGTCTCCCCATTTATTTCAAGTACCCATCCTCCAATGCATTTGGTTTATCATATGAAAATAGATGAGCAGATTACCGACGAGTTTACCTACAGGGAAGCACGAGAAAAAGCAGAAAGGGAAGAATACGAACGAAATAACCCCAAAATCCAACAACAATTCGCGGACCTGAAACGAGCGTTGGGAACAGTCAGTGATGAAGATTGGGCAAACTTACCAGAAGTGGGTGATTTGACTGGTAAAAATCGACGAAGCAAGCAAGAATTGAGAAAGAGGTTTTATGCAGTCCCTGATAGTGTTATTGCTGGAGCTCGGGATACGACTGAGTTGGGAACTACTGTAATGGACGATGGCGGGGAAAGTGCAGGAGGAGATGGACCTGATGGAACTATGACCAATTTTGCGGATATTGGAGCGGCGAGAGACAAAGTGCTCAAAGTAAAACTCGATCAAGCATCTCAGGGCACCGATTCAATGTCTGGGAGTGCGACCAATATCGACCCGAAAGGATATCTTACAAGTTTAGCCAAGTCCCAAATTAACGAGGGAGAAACCCAAGTTGGTGATATCGTCCGTGTACGAACTCTGCTGGAGTCTGTTATCAAAACAAATCCAAAGCATGCTCCGGGATGGATTGCGGCCGCTCGTGTTGAAGAGCTTGCAGGAAAAACTGTAGCGGCACGTAATATCATCGCACGTGGTTGCGAGTATTGTCCTAAGAGCGAGGATATCTGGCTGGAGAACATTCGATTAAATGACAACCACAACGCAAAGATTATTGCAGCAAATGCCATCAGGAATAACGATCGTTCAGTGCGTTTATGGGTTGAATCGATGAAATTGGAATCAGAACCCAGGGCTAAGAAACGTGTCATTAGGCACGCGTTAGATCACATTCCTCAATCTGTGAATCTTTGGAAAGAAGCTGTCAATCTCGAGGAAGATCCTAGTGATGCACGTCTACTTCTTGCAAAGGCCACGGAAATTATTCCTCTTTCAGTCGAGTTGTGGTTAGCGCTTGCGAGGTTAGAAACATCTGAAAATGCTCAAAAGGTCCTCAATAAGGCTCGCAAAGCTATACCTACTTCTCATGAAATTTGGATAGCTGCTGCCCGTCTTGGTGAACAAATGGGCACAGCTTCTAAAATAAATGTCATGAACCGTGCTGTTAAAGCTCTAGCAAAGGAGTCTGCCATGTTAAAAAGAGAAGACTGGATCACTGAAGCAGAAAAGTGTGAGGAAGAGGGAGCAGTTCTAACTTGTGGTAACATCATTCGTGAAACTCTTGGATGGGGACTGGACGAAGATGATGATCGAAAAGACATTTGGATGGAGGATGCAAAAGCTAGCATCAACCGTGGAAAGTATGAGACTGCTCGTGCTATTTATGCTTATGCCCTTCGAGTATTTGTTACTAGCACAAAGCTTTGGCTTGCAGCTGCAGATTTAGAAAAAAATCATGGTACCAAGGAAGCTTTGTGGCAATTACTCGAGAAGGCTGTCGAAGCACGCCCTACCAGTGAAGTGTTGTGGATGATGTTAGCCAAGGAGAAGTGGCTAGCTGGTGAAGTTGATAACGCACGAAGAGTCCTCGGTAAAGCATTCAACCAAAATCCAAACAACGAGGAGATTTGGCTGGCGGCGGTAAAGCTAGAGGCAGAAAACAACCAACCGGAACAAGCACGAGAACTTCTCAAAACGGCACGACAAGAAGCCCCAACTGATCGTGTATGGACAAAGAGTGTTGCATATGAAAGACAGTTAGGCAATATTGACGCAGCTCTGGATCTCGCGAATCAAGGATTAAATCTGTTCCCCGGTGCAGCCAAATTATGGATGATGAAAGGTCAAATCTACGAAGGCGAAGGTAAAATGCCACAAGCTCGTGAAGCTTACAGCACAGGGACCAAAGCATGTCCAAAATCTGTTCCGCTCTGGCTACTGTATTCACGACTGGAAGAGCGAGCTGGTATGGTAGTCAAAGCACGTAGTATTCTCGACAGAGCCCGGTTGGCAGTCCCCAAATCACCAGAATTATGGACAGAATCCGTGAGAGTTGAACGACGCGCAAACAACACTGCGCAGGCTAAAATCATGATGGCAAAAGCTCTTCAAGAGGTACCCAACAGTGGATTATTATACACAGAATCGATTTGGAATCTTGAAGCACGCACACAAAGGAAACCGAGAGCATTGGATGCTATCAAGAAAGTCGACAACGACCCGATCCTTTTCGTCACTATTGCCCGTATTTTCTGGGGCGAGAGAAGGTTGGAAAAGGCGCAGAATTGGTTCGAGAAGGCCATTTTACTAGATAGTGATTTGGGTGATACGTGGGCTTGGTATTACAAGTTTTTATCGCAGCATGGTACTGAAGTAAGTCCTAACCTCCCTACTTCCAGACGTTAAAAATGAGGATAGGCGGCTCGGTGACGTGGCTGAGTTTGGGATGTAAATCGAGACTAACATGTTTCACTCAGGAAAAACGAGCAGATGTGATACAGAAATGTATACTGAGCGAACCTCGCCACGGCGAGTATTGGCAGGCGGTAGCGAAGGATCCGAAGAATGCGGGGAAGGGCATCGAGGAGATATTGAAGATGGTCGTGGAGAAAGTAGAGTAAGGGGTTTTCATGGATAGGAATGGGAATGCAATCAAATGCAATAGATTGAGATGAGGTTAAGGGTGGGGAAGTAATGGGTGTATCATATGATATTGAAGAAATACAAAGATTTCAAATGAGTACTTGCTTGGTGCATGATTTGATGTCAAAGAAGTTGTGTGCTGTGTTAGTGATGCCTAGGATAACAAAGTCTAATTATCGAAGTCGAAATGGAGGGAAAGGAGCTTTGAAAACCAGATGAGAAGTCGCAGGGTTATTATTCGGCAGAGAGGAATTGAGAAAACCTATTGCGTGAGAGGGTTCGATGCAAGAGGTGCGGGTAACTTTACAGTGACATTCATATTCAATTTCATGTCACAATCAAGAAAGACAAGAACGCGTGTATGCGTGAAGGTATTTCTATTTACCAACACTAAGACTATTACCAGTCGTTCATTCCTTCCTTCCTTCCGGATATCGTACATTCATAAAAGCATGCCATCATGTGTAGCAAGCAAAAGTAAAGCCCATTCAATCCCAACGCTAAAAGAAATAACAGTGCTTCGATTCAATCATCATCCTGCCCTCCTTCGCAACAGTGTGAATTATTCGAAAGAGAAGAATTTATTTGTTGCCAGTGAGGGAAGAGGCTATTGGACGGGTTAGCTATTGTTTATTGTTCGAGGGATGCAGAGGGATGCAGAGGGATGTTACGTACCAGTGTTGGAGAGGGTGTCAGAGACAGTGTTGGCAGCGTCGCCGGCAGTGTCTGAGACGGAACCGAGAATACCCTTTCCTTGGCTTTGGGCATCGTCTGTTCCAGAGCGGGTCTTGTCAGAGAGTTCTTGGGTGGTGGACTTGGAGTCGGCTGTGAGGACAGATTGTTAGTATCTTGTGCGAGAAGATTAGAGAGGAAGAGTGGAAGAGGATTGCATACAAGGTTGAACGGCACCAGCAGCCTTGTCAGCACCTCCGGAGATGTTCTCTCCGATCTTGGTGGTGGTGGATTTTTGGGAGTCGGGAGTGACCTTCTCGGAGACTTGCTCGCCAACACCTTTGCGGAGACTGTCAGACATGTTGATGGAGTTTTGTTTTGAGGTGAAGAGTTGAAAAAGTTGGTTGAAGTTTGTGATTGTAGGTGTGAAGTGAGTTTGTTGATATTTTCTTGATGTGAATGAGGAATGGAAAATGAGTGGAAGAAGTGTCATTCTTATACTTAGGAGGAGAGAGGAAATATGACACTAGCCATGCTTCAAACGAGGCAGGTACGCACGCATGCTTCTTTCAATCCAAGTTAAAGCAGGTTTGAGAAGGAGGCATGAGGCAAGTGGCTAGTGAACAATACCCTCCTACCTTGTACCTGCTCCTTCCGATCCTGCTTGCTCTTTGCTTGTTTGTAGGCAACTTCTGGCTGGCATCTGGACCTGCCACACCAAGACAAGTCAATCATTATTGGGTAGTAACATCTAACAAAAGAGTATGCAATAGAGAAAAACGTCATATATCCACAGGCAACGCCACACGGTCGCATGATCATAAATGTGGCTATTTTTCCGATGGATCCATTTGATCTATTGGATCCATTTGTTCGGGAACCAAAAAAAGCCTCTCATAAGGTGTGTATCATATCATATTATGTACCCAGTATGTACGGCGGGAGGGTGATGATTCCCACTGGTTCGTTCCGCCGCATTCTCGCTAATGGGCAAATTGAAAATCCCATATCAGAAGACATCGAGATTTGATTTCAAGGAAATCTATCCAAGATACATTGACGCATCCACCAATTAAACAAATGGAGCAGTAAGAGACGGAGATGATGCAAAAGGATCTACCAACATATGCGCTGATGCCCGGTTGCAGAAGATGGTTCTTTCATCCTCCCAGTGCTTATGATGTAATATGTAACAGGGGATCTCTGTGTCGTCATTACCAACAATTGAAAGATGGGGAATTGCGAACCACAATAATCGGAATCAATAATACTTCGTAGCAACCAAGCAATATTGGTGTATGGTGGTGGATGAATGATTCCATAATAATGGCTGGCAAAATTGATAGTTATTATATTGGGGAGATGAGATAATAATGACACAATGCCTGGGTAAGGTTAAGAAAGAATCGATGGTGAACCATGGTGGTAGAATTGGAATGGAGGGGTATGAATGACAAACACGTGATGAGTAATGGAAGAATCTTTGTGACTTTTTGCTACCACAGAATATACCATTTACATCATGATGACGGCGATGTTGCCATGTTTTTTAATCTTCTAGTGAAAGATTCAAAAAGGGGTTGAAGTCGTCGGAAGAATTGGTGGGAATTGAGTTTTGATTACCTAGCCAGTCCAGTGCTAAACCAATTAAAGAATGGCTGCCGGCACGTCAATCGTCTTTACACGTGCTCACGCGAATGTTGAGTTCTGCCCGTTTGATGAACCGTTTGTACGTTGGTACAGCTAAGACACAACGGCAATGATCGAACCTGGATGTCAAATCATCTGCTTGCATACTGTTATTCGTATGAATCCTCTTTCAACTTGATAAAATGAGGGGATACAGCACATCGAGCCCTGTAGTTCATTTTCTCGAAAACCCCCTATACTTTGCTTCATTATCGTGCCTTGAGGATGATAGATTTCCCATCAAAACTCACTACGAATATACATATCGAAAGTACGAGCTCTCTAGCCAATCATCCGTCAACGAGCGATCTAGCTCAATCTTTTGTTGCACATCTATTATAGGGTCTAGTGCCTGGAACTTAGAGTCTTAAAGCCCTGGGATGAATCTAACATGGTAACGGTATTATGTACAGACTCAAGGCAGCCTACAGTACTAATCATTTCACGACAGATCAAGACGCATGGTAGAATTATATAGGGGTAAAAGAGAAGTACGCACACAACATTCCTAGATGAATTAAAGTGAGAACTTTCACTAGAGATATCTACACAGTGCACCACATTGTTAATATCATACATATCTATAACAGGACTCAGACCTCCCTGACCGTCCCAGCATTTGTACTTTTCTCGCTGCCATCCAGTGGCACTACGACATGCTCATCGACATCCTTCCTTCTGACATCTTCATTGACAACTTTGAAGAGTACATCCATTTCCTCCAAACTCAAGCCTTTGGTCTCCGGAAGGAACAACGTAAAGATGAATGCGACCGAGTTAAATGTTCCGAAAATCTGTTCCCACCAAAAATCATTAGCTTCTCGCGACTCTCCCAAGCTTTATTGTTTTTCTCTGGAAATAACATACCATCCATGTTTTCCATCCAATGTTCAACACTGCGATGGGAGTTTCTCTGGAAACGACATAGTTGAAAAGCCAGACAACCATAACACTGATAGCCATTCCCCAATCACGGATGCGGGTAGGATAAATCCTGGCATTGTTAGCCTGTTGAAGAAATAATGTGGTAATATGACAACTTACTCCCCAATATAAACCCAAGCGATAGGACCCCAGGACATTGAATAGAATACGACGAAGAGGTAAATGATTGCCATCTGAAGAAGTCAGTATTTGGCTCAGCCTGTGGTATTGAAGTACACTTACCATTCCCTTTCCGCTTGGCGTATTGTTTGTTAAACTTCCAGCGGTTGGTGGATGTGTGGCTAGGACTGCACCAAGAGCAAACATACAAATTGCCATGCCAGCACTACCGATACTCAATAGGTTTTTCCTCTTGAAATGTTGGATCTAAACGTATCAGTGTCAGGATGATCCACTTGTGAATTGAGACGCAATGAACAGCAAAGGTATGATCGAACTTACTCCTGCGATCAAGAAAAGGATAGTAGTCGCCACCTTAAGACAGGTGAAGATTCCACTGGCAAAGAGAGCAGCATTTTGAGCGGTAAACCCAATTTGTTTGAATACTGTTGGTCCGTAGTACAGAATTCCGTTATGTCCACACCAGATGCTAAAGAAAGAAACACCACATCCCCAAACAAGACGAAGAAGGTTTCTGGATTGAAACAGTTCAGTAACCGATCTACCAGAAGTTGCGGCAATTTCCTCTTCAATTTGCGCATGCATCTCTGCAATTTCGGTCTTGATGTCCAAGTCCTCCGATGTTGAGCCTCGGAGATAACACAAGGCGTGTTCGGCTTCATCCCATCGATTTTGTTTGGCCAGCCATCTTGGCGATTCGATTATAAGGAATGATCCGATCATAATGATTGCAGCGAGGACGATCTGGATGCTCAGTGGAATTCGCCACTGTTTGCTCGTGGCCTCTAAATGTAACGAGCATCCATATGTTGTCCAGTAAGCCAATAATCCACCACTCACAAGGAACATTTCGAAAAGTCCCATAAGGAATCCTCTCAGTTCTTTCGGCGCAGTCTCGGCAACAAGAACTGGAGTAAGGTTACTAACCATGCCGACACCGAAACCTGCTATAACACGACCAGCATAAATCATAGACAGGGAAGGTGGCTGAGCTGCAGTTTGAAGAATTCCACCGAGCATGAAAAAGGCGGCTGCAATAGTCATGGTTGGTTTTCGACCAATGTATTTCGTGAGTAGGGCCGGAACTATAGCTCCAAAGAATGCACCGGCATTGAGAAGAGCTACAATGTTAGAGGAAATGTATGCCGAATGTGCAGGGCTTGTCGAGAGTTTGAACTCCGTAGAAAAACTATTCAAGAGGTCAGTGACGTTTACTCCCGTGGTAGTTGTTTGATAGTCACCTTCTCAATGCGACTACAGAACCAGCGACTCCTGTATCGTAACCAAACAGCATAGAAGCTGTATTAGCCACTGCGGCAACGGTAACCGCGCCTCTATGCTTTGACAAGAGTGCTAAAGTCGAAGACATGATTGATCTGGTACCTGAAGAAACATGTGAAAAAAGAACAAACGAGACATGATATATCTATGTCAGATAAGATTATGTGTAGAATCTCTCCACTGCTGCGATACGACTTGCAATTGCAATATTTCTCAGGATAGCAAATGGTCCGTCTCTTACCTTCTGTTCGCCCAATGGACGATGCTGAGGAAAACCGACGCAATGGCGCCCCGTGGGGCAGTTGATAACGGCTGCTTCTATATTAGGTAGATACCCCGCGCAAGCCCATGAACCTTGCGCTGTCATTTCATTTCAGTACAACCTAGACTGCAGCTTACTGTCCTTCATAGTCTATGCAGGATATATAGCACCAATGAAACTCTGCATATGAATTTTATGGTTTCGAAATTTATCATTCGATTTTGCCGTTTCTGCGAGTGGGTCTCTCACCATTCTCACCTGTACACTGGAGCAGGAGCTACACATTAGGCTGTAGACTCGGTAAACTCGCATCCGAGTTCGACGGCAAATTGACTCCAAATTGTATCAGTGATGTGAGTGGAGAGATAATATCCTTATCATCAGCATTTCTAGATATTGTTCGTGTGTGGCAAACCATGAATCTCCATTTTCCTATCAGGTAATTTCTTGGTAAAGCGATTATGGTCATTTTCGTGGAGCAATTCTCACTCATCTTCGAGGTTGGGTAATTACAAAACAGATCCGTTGAGCGGAAGAATTTCTGGAAAAACCTCAAACTCGACCGCTACTGAGTACATGTTTGAAGCCAAGCAAGATACTTGATTGACAAGCTATATGCATATGCAACGAGGGCAATGAGACATTTCCCGTTCGGAGATAGCTCTCATCCTTCAAGCATGGTTTGCTACGATTATAAAATATCGCAAGATTGTGCACCGGATGTATCAATAGTATCCGTGAGTCTAGACTTTTCAAAGATTATCTTGGTCCTCTGGGCCTAACCTTGGGAAAGTAAAAGCTTTTTGCTTCAGACAATTGCATTCTGGTATTCATGGGATTAAGTTTACAAAGTTTACAAGCCTGAAACGAGTTGGATTGCTCTCGAGATTGGCAGTCTTTTATTGAGTCTCCTGAAACTGATGCGCAGGAATTAGCCACAGAGTCAAATTGGTGTGTCTACCTACACAGACGACTGTTTATTGATTTAGCACTCGTCAGCTCGTCCAATGTTACGTCCGTACGATCAAGATTTTATCACATGGCCGAATTAACGAAAAACCTTATGGACAGACTGTAGTTCGGCTTTTGCATGATAAAAGCGGGTCAGCCCTAGCGAATCATTTTTAGTTGTCAATTATGAAGGGGGCCGGAACGATCCCGTGAACTAAGAGTTGGCTTCCGAGCCCGTTCTTTATTTCTTAATACAACTTCAACAAACGGTACTTGAATAAAGTGTTTTGATTCCTTCTATCATCCTTCGAATAAATTTCGAGGTTTATTGTAAGAGAGGGATAACAATCCTAGGAAAATCTTTGACATGTCACCACGACAAGGAACTATGATCAGGAATATCACCTCGGCAGGTATCCTCGAGGTATTCCGCTGATTTTAGACAGGGTTGAAACTCGGACGATTTGCCTCGAGCTATGAATCGTTGATGTTTGGTTGGGGAAAATCAAAATCTGATCCGAATTGTGGGGATTTTGGATCAAAACCCTGTTCGCGACGGGGGCTTGGGGGGAATGCCGGTGCAAAGATACGGAGCCTTTACCAATTTGGATATTTTTGCGTGAAATATGCAACGCCTGGCAATTTGCTATTGATTATTTACACTAGGGTACTCATTCGAATTTCTAGGGGCCCAAGGTCCAAGAGGACTGTCAAATTTTCAGCAGACACAATTGCTTCGCATAGGAATATGAACAAGGCCAGACCATCTTGTTAACGGTCCATCTTCTTGGACATCCGGGTCTCTGAGACCCCATCCCCGTAGGATAATGTGTGGCGTGTTTCTATTTGAGAGATGCCTCGTTTTCGAGTACGGCAATTGAAGCAATACTTGTGTAATGTGCCAATGACACAGATGATATTAGCAACAAACAAACTTCAACACAGTAATATGTTAGAGTTATGACTCGATTCCCAAATAACAGGAGCCGAAACTAGTGGCTGCGTTGATCGAAGTTACATTGCAGAAATCTCTCAGCTTACTGTTGTATCGTAGGCATTTGGTAACAACCGTGGCACTATACCTGTCGCGGCCCCTGTAGACGACATGGGGGAAATGACATCTCCAACACGAACAGGTCGATAATCAAAACGACATAACAACTTAACAAGGAGTTTCTTCAGGAGCTTGGCAATAGTGATAAATCCATAATGATTGAGGATCGTCCAAGCACGTCAAGGTATATACATATCTCTGATCCAGTGTTCAGATGCTATGTGATCGTTGATAAATTTGGAGCTTTTGTAGAAAATCTTCTAGAAATTGTATCATCATGCCCACTTTGTGGGTCTACAACTCGACACCAGAGGTTAATGCTCAATCCAATTATCCTTCGATTTTAGGAGCTTCCTTTCCATTGCTTGTGTTGATGCTCATCACTGTCAGCGCGAGATTGTATGTCAGAGTTCGGACTGTGCGAGGTGTTGGTGCTGATGACTGGGCCGTCTTTTTCGCTGCGGTAGGTCTTTCTTCGTTTATCTTTGCAGATTATGCTGATTATAACCGTGGGTAGATATGTAGTATTGTTTACAACGCTTGTACTATTGCTCGTAAGAAGCATCTTGAACAAATTTGGTATGAGCTAATGATGAAATAGAATCAAGATGGGGATTAGGTTTGCCGTTGACTCTCCGACCAATTGTCAACTTGAACACATATTCTAGAGTCAGTAACAATCGACTGATGCACGAAAGATCAGCCACTGATAAAAGAACAGATTAATTATGCCGGGCGACCTTTCTATATGATGGGCATCTTAGCCTTCAAAGTCTCACTTTGCTTCTCTTATCTTCGCATTCTCTCCAAGGGACAACCAACTTACCGTCTCATAGTATGGGCCGTGATGGTTCTCTGCATTATAGGCCATACAGTCGGGACTCTGGTACTAATATTTAATTGCAACCCGGTACATACAGATCCTCTTTCCCTCTTTTCCAATGCGTTCCTCACAAAATGAAACATACTAATCTATGGGTCCATCAGATCAAAAGATCATGGAATCCAACGACTGCAGGAACCTGTCTTCCCGTTGGTCCGCTATTTCTCGGTCTCGCTATTACAACTATCGTCTTTGATGTCATAATCTTCTTTCTTCCTATCCCATTTCTGTACGGTTTACGAATGGATAAATCCAAGAAATTCGGCATCATTGGCGTTTTCGCCCTCGGTATTCTCACAACGGTGTGTTCGGTTATGCGGACGACTGAAATCCCCGTTATTGCGACCGGTAGTGGTAATTCCACAATGTTGGTCGTGTGGGGGAATATAGAATTAAATGTCGGGGTATGTCCTTTGCCACTTCTCCTTCCCCTTCAAACTAGAAATATGAAAATGAAAAGAAAAAGTGTATGAAACATGAAGCTAACACAAAACAAGATCATCCTAACCTCCATGCCCGTCCTCGCTCCCCTCTTCAAAGTCTTCGGCAAGAAACTCGCCTCAACCGGGAAAGGCTCCTCAAACCCCTACGCCCATACCGCCTCCTACAACATGCAAGTTTTCAGTAACTCGAAAAGTCAGCACCACACCACCACTTCCAATATCAATACTCTCACGAATTCGCGAAAAGAAAGAGCAGCGAGGGCCGCAGCTCGATATCCGGGGGACGTAAGTGATAATGAGAGTCAGGAGACGATTTTGGGGAAAACTGGGGAGGAGGGGATGATTGCGAGAGAAAGAAGTGTGGATGAGAGGAGTGGGATGCAGAGTCTGGAGAGGGAGAGGGAGAGGGATTTGGAGAGTGCGACGGGAGGCGCACAGGGACAGGGAAAGGAAATTGAAGGGATTATGAGGACGGTGCAGGTGGAGGTTTCGAGTGAGGTGCGGGATGTGCAGGTGGGGGAGTTTGGGGGACCGAAGAATAGGTGATTGATTGATTGATTGATTGATTGATTATCGAACGCCCCTTTCTCCTTCGGCTGTGGAATATTCTTTGTGTTCATGGATATTGTCATGTATTTCATACCTCTCATACTGATGTTCGAGAAATGATGCATTTAGGTTTATCTTCTGGTATCTTAAATGATGTAGCAGGATCGATATCCATCTATCCATCCAGCCATCCGTCCGTCCGTCCATCAAAAAAAAATACGAAGCACAGCATTATCAATATTCCCAGATCTTGATTCAAATCCAAAATCAAAATATAATAACTAAAACTACACTCGTTTGATTTCTTTTGTTATTTCTTTGTATGTAAATAGAAGGGTGAATTATTTTGGGTTACAATACCACGTTGAGATGGATAGATAGGTAGAGTTAGTTGTAATGGCTTATTGTGCCTCGCTGGCGAATATTGTGCGTTTTTCTTGGAGGTTGAGTTGTGGGTGTGGATATGGATGTGCTGTTCTCGGGGGAAGATGGATTGGTTTTGATGGCTGTTTGGTTTTTGGGGGACGTTTGTGGATATTTGAAGTGGTGGTAAAGCTAGTGCTAGTATTATGTATGAGATAGGGGAGGTTTTTTTTGGCTAATTGGGACGGCAAATGGAGGATTCGGAGAGCAATATCTTTGCATATAATATGCTATGAGAATATTAGACACGTCTGAATCTAACCCGCTATTTGTCTATGCTTATGCAGTTGTTCCCATTGCGCCATGTATTTCTCCATTCATCCATTCATCCATTCATCCTCCCTCAATACTGTCAGTCTCATCTCTTTTCTATCCCATCATCTGAAAGTTTCTTCCCTTCCCCATCTCACCAGTTTATCTTTTCCCATCAAACTACCTCCTCTTTCCCACTATATCCATCACAACCCCATTCCATGTACCCCCAAAGTCAATTTATACTGTTTCGCCTTTTCCATAGCTCTCTTCAACGACTCATGATCTTTTTGCAATCGAGCTCGTTCCGCTAATTGAGTTGCTGTTTCGCCTGCGATCTTTCGTAGAGCTTCTTCGTTCTATTTATTCTTCGTTAATTTGGTTCTCGCTTATTATCTACAGAGAACTCGCAGAGACAAAGAAACAATGAACGAGAAAAAAAAGTAAAAAGAACTAAAACTCACCCCCTGAAACTTCTTCGTAATCATATCCGGCCCTAGCGTCCTCAATGGACTCTTCCCCCCCAAGAGATGTCTCTCACAAACCTGATGACAAATATTATCCACAAACCTCACCATCCCAATCTGATAATAGCTCGCCAACTTATCATGGGTGGTAAAAATCGCATCAACTTTCGCATTATGTCCCAACCAACTCTTGACCTGCGTTTTCACAATATCCTTATCGCGTCTCTGGATCTCATCCAGTCGCGCCGTCATGAGTTTGAATCTCCCCTCGCGCAAATCGGATAGCTGATATACGTTCCATTTGTTGAGGGTGACGATCAGTCCGGATTTCTCGTCGTTGAGAAGTTTATCCAGTTCGTGCATGGCGTCCTCGTGAACAGTGGTTTTGTCTTCTTCGAGGAAGTTTTGCACATTCATTAAGAGAGATTCTTCTTCGCATATCGCGTGCAAGAGACATCCGACGGATATCCAAATCGCGTTGACTAATGATTCTATCAGAGTTTTGGATTGATCTCTCCAAACGGGTGTTAGTTCGGACCAGAGACTACGGATCACAGCGCCGTTTACTTCGTCGGCCATTTCTTTGCCGCGATTGGCTTCGATACATTGGCTAATCTCGTTAAAATATTTGTTTCGAAGTACGGCACGTTCCCATGTTTTCTCATCCACCGATTCGAGAGAGAAGCCCAGCACTTTACTATTGAAGCGCTGATCGTAAACCGCGGTCATGCCATCCCTAAACTCATCTAGAGTATCGCGAACGATTTTCCGGATTTTGACTTCAGGACAATTGACAGGTAACCGATCATTATGACCATCAATAGCATCTCCCGCATGCAAAGAATACTTCGTCGCGAGGTTAACCAAACAATTCAACTGACTCTCAGGTGTGATGCGCGGTGGACCTAGAGCATCGATTTTGTTTCCGATGGTTTTGAGACGGTCTGCGATTTCGGGAATGAGTTCGGGGATACTGCGTGTTACGTGTTCGTTGTGCATTTGTGTCAATGCCACTTTGAGATTCTTGATGCCTAGTTTCTCTTGTCGTTCGAGATCTGTCCAGACTTTTTGGCTGAATAGTTTTTCTTCCTTCTGGTCTCGGATGGTTTGGAGTTCTTTGCCCGGACTGGATTTTCTTTCAGAGGGAGAGAGATTGCGTAGTGCAAACCAGCCGTATTTGAGACATCTGTCGAATTCGGGATCGCTCTCATCGTTCTTGATTGCTCTGAATACCTGCAAAGTTGTTTTTATTAGTATTTTGACATGATGAACATTACGATAGAGGCGAATACGCACCCAATCATCACCCTCTGGTTCTATCTTGTCACATTTTGTGATAACGCCAATCACTCTGTTCTTCCAATTTGCAATGCCTTGAATGATTTGGAACATATCCTGAGTCTCGACATTTGCAGGATGGGCAACAGCTCTGTTAATGATTAGTAAGCACTTTCCGAATCTTTCCTGGCATTTCTTACAGAACAATGCTTCGAGGATTCAATATGTAGTGATCCACTAATGCTTTTGCCATTTTATGAGCTGGGTGAGTTGCTAGCGGGCGTTAGAAAGGTGGTCAAAAATCAACTCCACTCTTAGGATTTACATGAAACCAATCCAGGAATATCAATAATCGTGATATTGATTTCTCCTGGACCCTTTTTGACAATCTTCAAGGTAGCATCGCTTAGTAGATTCTTCTTATTCTTTGCAACGTTTATCTTTTTGGCCGACTGCCCAGGCTCGACGGTATCTCCCATGATTACTTTTTTCGCCTAAATTTCTATTAGCTTTGTACTCTATCATGATAATTTAGAGCAGAGACGATACTTTACTTCTGTAATCATCTCACAAAAATCATCCATCTGCGCACCCTTCCCTCCCCACTTCGCATTAAACTCATCGATCCGTGTAGATTGCTTCTCGAGCCACATTTTCTGCGCAGAAGTTTGATTTGGCGCATCAAATGCACGAACTGCTTTTGAAATACTGATCTCTAAAACGTCTTCCGATGCTCGTTGAAGGGAAACTTCGGTAGGGAAACGTGTACAGAGACCGTCGTCAACGGGGAACGAAAGTCGTGTGATAGCTTGGAGAACGGAGCTTTTTCCGGAGCTTTGGTCGCCAATGACGACGAGCTATTTTATCCGTTAATATGTATACAGTTCTGTAATCGGGACTTGCAATTGTGAAATGCAAAATGGGATGCTTACCTGAGGAAGATTGAGAAGCTCATTAATAGCGAATAATTTCTTCAATTCATCGATGAAACCGAGTTTTATCATCGTGTCTTCGTTTCCTAGATGCTCAGGAACGATTGTCGTGGACGGATTCTCATCGGGCTCAAGATCCATTGGATCGTCGGAAGAAATGGAAGAACACATCTTTATTGTGTTTCAGATGGAGTAGAAGGATCTGAGTAGAAATCTAAAGTTCAAAAATAACAGATGCGCTTCAAATCCACGGAGCAAATTTGCAAATTTAAGATAGAAATCTCAAGCCACGAGATGTAGACATATAAATACCCATGATCTAATCACTACTTCCATCTCAATGAGTCCATATAAAGATGCAGTGCTCCAAGACTTCTTAGATTTCCTCTATTTTTTGTATTGATGCTCCATACTAGCACTATAGAGTAAGAATATTCTGGTTTTGGTAAGATGACCGACATCTATGGAAATGAAACCGGACTCAATTAACTTCCATGACAAACTATGGAACAGAACTTGATACATAAAGTCACACAAGAAAATGAACGTTCAAACACTAGATCCACCTAGCAACTTTTCTAACATAAAAAAAATCAAATAAGGGACGTTGAAATCCTCGTACTACCAAAGTCTTCACTTGCTACGAATAAAAGCTCAAACCATAAACAATATAATTAGCTCGACGCTTTGTATGAAGATATCCAATATCCTCCTTCGAAATACCTACACTACATAATACCACACCCTATCCGCCGCCCTATCCACCATATTCGAAGATACTCTTCGAATATCAAAGAACCTTTGAATTTCTATTGTACCTAAAAGAAACTAGATGAACCTCTTGACCACAAAGAATCTTGATCCATCCCCATATCATCAAGGAAGAAGATAAAAGAAAAGCGAAATACTTCCCATCCATTCCATTCCATTCAATTCCAACTACAACTCCAATTCCAACTGAGCGGAAAGATACCAGCAGATACAATAGCATCGAGCGAAATGGAAGCGAGATGAGGTCCATCAAGATCTGTAAAGTGTGCTAAGCATATATATGAAGCTATAGAAATACCCACTCTATCCATTCCAGAAACAGCCAAAAAAGGGGGGGCGGAGGAGAATTGAGAGAAGGAACTTATTCAAAAACCAACATATCCATCTAACAAAAACACAAGAAACACAAGAAGCATAAAATCATCCATTCATATTCTTCACTACCGATCCTAAAACACAATATTCCCATGAAGGACTGTGAGAAGAAGATTTTGTAAGCGACAGAGAACACATGTGAAAAATTGATAACGCTAGGGAGATTCTGCGAGGTACATTCATTTGTTTTATGTGTCAACTTGAATAATGAGATAATTACAATCTTATAATACTATTATATATTAATGTAATTATTCAAAATCAGGAATAGTAATGGGAGTGAAATTATATAGTAATGGGTTCTAGATATATATATAAGTAATTTTATATATCTAATTAATAGATATTCATTCATTCATCTATTTGTTTATTCATTTATTTATTCATTTAATATAATTCATTAGCATATAGACTATATCATTATATGAGCTACTTTATTTTAGATATAAAATTCATCTAAATATAATTATATACTTTCTTTATTAATTAAGTGTTACGGGAGCTGCCTCTAGGGTTACGTAAAAATGTCTAGAGATCTCTTGAAGTAGTTTAGATTAAACTTCAAGTAGGAATTCAATAAGGTTGTAATTGGTTATAATTCTTATAATTATAATAATAAAACTAATGATTGTTCTTGAGTATAAAGCTCTATATTATAATAAAACCTATTCCCTTATATAGACCTTCGTGTTACGACGGCATCCAATATACCGCGTCACATGGTCAGGAAGTCACGTGATGGACCTAGAGGATCTAGGGGATCGAAGAATAAACATCTAGATCCATAGGATCCAGAGGATCCAGACAAGACAGAACTGTAGGTTCTGCAGAGCAGGAAGGTCTATATAAGAGAACAGATTTCATTACAATGTAGAGCTTCGTGCTCAAGAACAATCATTAGTTTCATTACTATAGTTACGAGAATTGCAACCAGTTACCAACCTTATTGAATTCCTACTTGAAGTTTAGTCTAAACCACCTCGAGAGAACTCTAGACACTTCCACGTGACCCTAGAGGCAGCTCCCGTAACACTTCGTACCCTATAAATCAACAAGTCGATTATCATAAAGCCGATTTCGATAAGTCGGTTTCCTGATCATATAACGTCCATCTTGTGATTGGTAATGATACTACTGCTTATCTAACCTATACTCTTTAGCCGATTGTCCCTACAGTACTGTTTCCGTAGGTCCCAACATCAAGGCCTTAGGTTTACCTTATAATCCATGTTGCGGTGCGGGTACCCTCCGTAACATTAAGAGAATTTTTCAAAATCTTCTTGTATAAGACTTAATTTTTCGATTATTTCAAAAATCTAATTTCTTTTTTCAAAATCTCAATTATTATTAAAGTTGTTAAAGAAATAGAGTTTTTGAAATATAACGTATAATAATTTCGAATTAACATGAATTTTTTTAAAAAAAACCTAAATATTAAAAATATTTTATTTTTATTATGATTTTATTTGATTTTTCTTTTAAAAATAATAATTAATTATTAAAATATAAATATTAAGAAAACCTTAATTTCAATATATCTTCAAAGTAGTCTATATACTGATATAACTTATATACTAATGAACTACGTTATTCATTCATCTATCTCTCTACACCCCCCCCCCCCCCCCCCCCCCCCCCCCCCCAAAACCTCACCTTCAATTCCTTCCTCACTATGCCCCCATCCTCCCCGGAAAAAAAAAACGGAAAAAAACCATAAAAAACAAACAAAGGGTAAGATCGCTATCCGCGATATAAGTATTAGGTAGATAGATAGATAAATAAGTAGCTCTTAATCTCATTCATCTATTCATTCATTCATTCAATCATCTACGAAACCTCGTATAAAACCCTCCTTTAAAAAACTCAAAAAATTGAAAAATTAAATAAACTAATAAAGGCCTAAAAACATATCCTCTCTGTATGAACACTGATCATTAGGATCTAGTGAATAGCTTCAATTCATTAGCTACTATATTGTAGTTGTTAGCGAATACGGGATATAATAGCTTTAAGCGAAAGTAGAAGAGATTAGTTCTTCTTGTAGCGTTTATATAAGACCTACAACTTCCTGTACTTAGCCAGCTCTTTAGACATAGGACCTACGAATACCGTGAGTGCTACGTCTTCCGTATCCTTCTCGAACCAACAATATCCTCTCACTCGCTTATCCCTTCCCCCTTTTTATTCCTCCTCATCCCCTTCTCTTCCCTTTCTAATTCTCTATCGAGGCCTATTTGAACAATATTACCAAGACGTTAAAAATAAAATTCTATTTAAGCTAAATGCATATTAAATATTTCATAATATAGTTTTAATAAAAACTTATTAATCTAAGCCTTTTAAATTCATTATATATTCGAATTTTTATAAAAAAGTAATATTTTGAGTTAAAAAGTTATACTCCCAATTGAGTGAATTTTATTGATTTCATTCTTGAGATTTTAATCCTAATAATTTTGATAAAATTAATTATTAAAGTTAAAGTCATTGAAAAAATTAAAAGGGAGAAATTAATTTTTTTAATTTCTTATTTTATTAATTAAGTAAATACAATCTTATTTTATCATTTTAAATATTAAGAATTTAAATTAAATCAATTTAGATTAATAATATCATTTCATATTAAGTAATTTCTCGATTTATTAATTATTCAATTTTCGAAATAATATATAATTTTAAATAAACATATGAAAATTTAACAAAGGGTGATATTATTATTAATTAAAATTTCAGGAATCGATTAATATAAGTTTTAAAAATTGAAATAGAAATTGAAATTGTTATTGAATTTATTAAAATTTAAATCACTTTAATTATTAGAATTACTTATTTTATTATTTACCTTTTTATAATTTTGAAATTCTTATATTCAATATTAAATTTCACTTTTATTAGAAAATCTTGAGATATATGTTAATCGATTAACACGCTACCCCGTAGCGTAGCTTATTATTACGACAGCATTCAACATACCGTGTCACATAACATAAATTATACGTGATGGAGCGTCAAGGAGCTTTAGTGCTTTTGGAGTGTGTTGTGATTCTTAATGATCCAATATATTGGAGAGATTCTAGGGATTAGGATAAAGAACGAAGGTCTATATAAGGGAATGGGTTTCATTACAATGTAGAGCTTTGTACTCAAGAATAATCATTAGTTTTATTACTATAATTACGAGAATTACAACTAGTTACAACCTTATTGAATTCCTACTTAAAGTCTAGTCTAAACCACTTCGGAAGATCTCTAGACACTTCCACGTGACCCTAGAGGCAGCTCCCGTAACACTTATATAAGGAACATCTATATAAGTAGTAACGTAGTTTATTAGTATGTATATTATATTAGTATATGTACTACTTTAAAAATACATCAAAATTAAGCTTTTCTTAATATTTATATTTAATAATAATAAATATTGAATATTCAAAAATCTAATATTTATTTAAATATTCTTATTACATTCTAAAAAAAAGTTAACATTCTTACGATTTTCATTACAAAAAAATTCTTTTTACAATAACTATTATAATAATTCAAATTTTCGATTTATTATTAGAAATTCATAATATTTAAATATTATATATTTCATTTTCAGAAAAGTCTATTAATAAATAAAGAAAGTATATAATTACATATAGACGAATTTTATATGTAAAAAGAGTAGTATATATACTCATATGATATACATACTAATAAACTATATTATAGATTATATAAATTCAAAATTGAAAAAACTGAATTTTTTTAATTTATAATCTTTTTCTTATATAGAATAAATGATTTTCAATTTTTTATAATTCTTATCTTTAATAGCTTATAATCTTATAAATAAAAAATTCAAAATAAAATAGCTTGTGTTTTTATATATAATCAAATTAATTCTAAATTGTTTTTAAATTCTTTTCATTATTTTATGTAAAATTTTAGTAAAGAAATAGAAATCTTAAAAGCTGAAAAATCAAAAGTTTTAGTAGGGAAATCGAATTCTATATAGTGAGACGATTCTAGAACTCTTATTA